CGCCAGGATATTGATTTATGTCTCATTAGAAGGCATTTATTTAGCTCTACTCTTCCATAATTTGTATTTTCCTACTCTTTGAAGCTTTTATAGCTGTCCACTTCCAAACTCAAGAGGTTTCCCAGCTGCAGCATCCTTGGGGGGGGGGGAGAGGTTAGGCCCCAGGGTCTCCTCTTACTGATTGGTTTCAGTTTTTAAAATTACATTTACTGTGCAGGATTGGGGGATGGGGCAGCTGGGGGTGTGTCTGGGTCAGAGAGCAGTTTGTGGGAATTTGTGCTCTCCCCTCACCATGTGGATTCTGGGTATAACTCTCAGCTCTTGTAGATAAGTGGGTTTCCCTGCTGAAGCGTTTATCAGCCTGGAGTTTTGTCTTCTGTAGTGTGTTTTATCTGCAACCTTAATTTCTATAAGATACCAAGTAAGGGCAGGAGATGAAGCTCTAGAATATCTGCCCTGCGGATGGACATAAAGCCTGGAGTTTTCTCCTCAGTACCACACACACAGGGCATAGTGGCTCACACCTCTCATCCCAGTATTTGGGAGATGGAGGCAGGAGGAAGAGAAGCTTAAAGTTATTCTGAGCTACATGAGATCGTGTCTCAAAAAAATAAAAAGGAACCACAGCAAGCAAATACAGCAAACCACAGAAAGGATGGTGGTTTGCTTTCTGTAAGCGAACTGTAGCAGAAGCTGCTGTATGCTTTCTGTTGCTGTGGTAAAGCACTGACCTGACTTGGGAGGAAGGGGTTATTTGGTTTAAGTATCCTGGGTCACAGTGCCTTAAGGGAGTCAAGGCAGGAACTCAGGCAGGACAGGAACCTGGAGGGAGGCAGGAACTGGAGCAGAAGCCATGGAGGAACATTATTATTGGCTTGGTTCCCATGTCTTCCTCAGCCTGATTTCTTACACAGCCGGAGATGGTACCCTAGGATGGTACCACCCACAGTGAGCTACTCTTCCTCCCGTCAATCATTAACCAAGAAAATGCCCCGTTTCTCCCTCCCCACCGCCAGACTTGCCTTCAGGCCTGCATGATTGAGGTGATCCCTTAATCAAAGTTCCCTCTTCCCAGATCCGTCTAGGTTGTCATCAGGTTGACAAAATCCAGCCAGTGCAGCAGCAGTATCACGCATACACTTGGGCACAGGTAGTGGGGTTGTGGACAGTGCACCAGATGAGAGAGAGAGAAAGAGAGCTGAAGAAAACCTCAGCTGTTTTAAAAACATCATTGCAATAGAAACCTAGACTGGAATGATGAATACTTGCCCCAGTGAACAAAGATCTCTTGTTATATGATTCTGTGAATTTTAAAACTTCTTATTAGCCATTCGCTCTTATTCTTCATTGTTGACTTTTGAGGAAATTTCATAGTGTGGGAGAATTTGAGCATGGTATTTAGTACAGACACAGGATTGGTATCACTGGCCAGTTCCAGCTTTCCAGAGCTTTATTATGCCAGCTTTCTCTTAGGGACAGGAGTCTTACACATAGCTGTCTCTTTACAATGTGCCATTGACATCGAAATAGTGGGTCACTGAGCTGGCAAGGCTGCCACATGCTCGCAGTGCCAGCAGAAGATCTTAAGTTTGAGTATAGCCGGGACTATCTAGTGAGACTCCTCTGAAAAAAGAGGCTCTTGGGAACTGAGAGAGGTTCATGGCCTACTCTACAGTGAACCTCATCTTGATTAATACATTTGTATCTCACCTGCATTGAACAAAAAGTTGTTTTAGACTTGGACATTCAAAAGTACTGATATGGGCTGGAGAGGTGGCTCAGCGGTTAGGAGCACTGACTGCTTTTCCATAGGTCCTGAATTCAATTCCCGGCAACCATATGGTGGCTCACAACCATCTGTAATGGGATTCAATGCCCTCTTCTGATGTGTCTGAAAACAATATACTCACATACATTAAATAAGTAAATAAATCTTAACCAAACAACCAAAAAAAGTACTGCTATATCTATTGTCCTCTGTCATTAATGGATTAGTCTGTGTGAATCACAGTGCGTGTTAGATGTTTGAAACAAAAGTCTTGTTGGCATGAAATTCTGCCAGCTGTTGGCTCTATTATTTTAAGATTAGCTAACCTCTCTAAACCAACTTTTTCTCAGTAAGATTGAGCATAGCTTCCACCCTTACCTTGAAGAGTGCAGTAAAACGCTGGTGTAGGCTAGGCCAGACCAAAGCATGTAGAAATCAGTATTATTTAAGTGTTCAAAGAATTGTAACCTTCTTGAGTATGATTTACGTTTTCATTCATGTAGAGAAAGCATAAAACATTCTTGCATTCTGTGTTTGCTCACCGACAGCCAAGCTTTTGAAAGAACATTTGGTTTGAGCTTCTGGAGCAGACATATAACCTGATGGTTTAGTGTTCCACATACAATGCCAGCAAAAGGCAGCTTATAGCAAAGTTCTAGGGTGGTATTTATCTCAGTTACTTAGAAGGTTTGCTTCTGTTTCACATAGCAGGGAAAATTCGACTTTGGTCTTTATAGTTTTTTGGTTTCAAAACAAATTCTGAAGGAGGATGAATGGACTGGATACAGTCAACTCTTTTCCTTTGTCCTTAGACTAAGCAACCTGGGGATTCCTGGAGCGTGGGCTTTTCACATTGGCAGCAGGTTCGCCCTGGACAATGTCAGACCAGCCACAATTGGAAGCGACCTTTCCACAGCTCGCTCCTCAGCGCCGGAGCACTCCTTCAACCATGCTGCAGCCCTGGAGAGCTATACTGAGGACCGTTTCGATTATTACGATGAGAATGAAGAGGACGTTGAATATCCACCAATTGAACCAGAGGAGGCCCTGGAAGGTCACAGCAGAATTGATGTGTCTTTCAATTCAAAGGCTGATCCAGGCCTTGTGGATGGAGGCACATCATCTCCAGGTTCCGATCATGCTTCTCCTTTGCCACACCCAGCACCTGGTAACTGGCCATCCTACCGGGAAACAGAATCAGCTTCCTTGGACCCTCAAACCAAACAGGGGCCACCTATGGGAGAGGTAGAGGTCCTGGATTCCAAGGACCCAGCAGAGTTTTTGGATCAGATGGGTACCAGAACCCCAGCCCCTCCAGAGGCGGAGGCAGCTTTCCTGACTCCAGTCAAGGAAGACCTTGGGAGCAGAAACACCCAGTCCTATCCGGAGGCAGGGCCAGTGCCTTCAGTGCCAAATGTTCCTGTCCCTCCTCTGGAAGGAGAAGTCCTTCCTAATTACCCCGTGTCTGGTCACGTGCCACCCCTGAGTGGAGGGAGGTATGTGGTAGGACTGGAGGACCACGTTGGTTCTAATGATCAAGGTAAGTACATTAAAAAACTGGGCATTTGAGGTTTTATTTAAAGAAAATGTAGCAGAATTGACAAACTAGACATGGTCAATCACCTGTGCTAATCCCTGAACCAGGCAAGCTGGGGCAGGCTGAGGCAGGCTGGGACAGGCTGAGGCAGGCTGAGTCCAAAGGATCATCTCGATTTCAGACGAGCTGGGGCTATATAGAGAATTCTAGAATGACACTTCTTCCAAAACAAAACAAAAAACAAAACAAAACAAAACAAAACAAAAATACAGCTATGGTTTTCTTGTGAGTGAATAGGTGAAAAGTTTAGCAAGCAGATTGGAACTGATTTTTTTTTCCTCCTTGTGTTTAAGGAGATAAATTCCCTTTTGCCAAGTACATCTTGGCAGAAAAGTTCTTCTTGGAGCCTGCTGGCCATTAATAATGTGTTCTAAAAAAATTAGGCCTCATGGAGTGGGGAAAGAACTGAGCCATTTGTGCCAGCTCTCCTCCCAAGTGTAATGCAATATTCCAGTTTGCAAGTTCATGGAAGGAGAGCCATTTCAAGGCTTCGTAGGCATTACAGGATGGAGGGCATGGCCATTTAGCTTTGAGTTAGTTTTGCAGATTTAGGCAAACATGCTGAAGAGCCTGCCGGGAGAGAACATTGTAGACACCTGTGTCTGCTGTTATTTCTGGTTCTCATCCCCTCATCTGTGGCCTTCACCTCCTCGGAACCTTATCCGCATTCCGTGACTCAGTGACCATAGCTGGAGGAAGGCCGGGAAATGCCCAGAGGGGACAACTTTTCATCCACACTGATGGACTGGGAAACTGGCCCTAGCTTCATCCCCCCTGTTCCAGGGCCTGGTCACTGATCTCTGCTGGGAGGGAAGGATCAGAGGTCACGGCTCTCTCCACAGTGTTTCAGCTTTACAGTTTTTCTGTCATTGTTTTGACAAAAACATTAACCTAGCATAGAGGACCGTCTGGTTCTGCTGAGACATTTCCTGCAGGTTCAGGACTTGTTTGGAGAAATACTTTAGGTGGGATGAAAACACTTTGTGTTTAACAGAGCATAGAGTAATAGTTAGGGAAGGAGCATTGGTACGAAGTTTGAATCTTGGCCATATTGAGACAACTTATTTCACCAAGTCTCTGAGTTTCTATAAATGTATTGCCAGGATTTAATGTGAGTATATGTGACGTTCTGTGCGCCTACATTAGTCGGTTCTTTAAAAGAGAATAGCGGCCGTCGTTACTGATCTCTAGACGACTAAAACATAGGAAACAGGGCGGAGGATGAGTAGAGAGTGAACAGCTAGGCTGAAAACAGAAAAAAGACTCATTAAAAAGCTTTTGCCTCCTGGCTCCTTTCTCCTTGATGAAGTCTGATGAACAGTTGTTTCTATAAAGCCAAAGCCATGGACTTTTTTTTTTTTTTTAAAGGTTCTAGAACTTTCAGATCCTGCTAACAATCTCCAAAATTTTCAGTGTGGGTTCTTTCTATGTAAAGAGATTTAAAGGCATGAATCAAAGGTTTTTCTCGAAGGGATTTTGTGGTACAGATGTGTTTCTGAGTGATCTTTTGTTGGGGGTTGTATTTTCCTGGCCCAAGAAGAGCACACAGTTATCAAAAAGTAGATCTGTGTACAGTTGGCTGCAACCCGAATGGCTGGATATGGCCCAGCACAAAACTGTAAGCTCACTTAAAACATTCTGAGATTTTTCTTTTGTAACTCATTGTTCTTGAAGCGTGAATTTGGTAGATGACAATGTGTCATGGTGTCAGAGGTTGTGTGTGGCTGTTTAAGAGCTCAGAACGGCCTGAAATGGAACTGGCCACTAGGAATTGAGGGTGACGGCATAACCCTGGAGGGGCATGAACTGTGGTATTTATCAGCTGCCAAATGTAGCCAATACTGACATCGAAATGCCAGAATGTTTATGAAAAAGACATTCAGGGGGAGATTGTCCAACTGGAAGCTTTTAAATCTCAGAGAGAAAAAATACTTTTAAATTTTTTTAAAAAATATTTATGTGTATGCATGTGTGCAAGTTCATGTGTACAAAAGCCTAGCACTTAAGAAAGAATATTTGTGAGCTGTGTGAAGCATAGAAGCATGTAGTTGTTATTATTTATGTTCAGAGGAAACACTGGTGTCCCGGAGGCTTATCCGGCAGCTGTGGGCTTACTCTGGGTAGCTGGAGATGTGGGGGTGACTGAGACCTGCAGGCTCAGGGTAGGAAGTCCCTGACTTCTGGTGGCAGATGGACTTGAGCTCCCCCCCAACCCCCCGGCTCTGTGTGTAGTTTGAGGAGAGATAGCTGTTTGAACCTTGTTGTCTGAATAGAAAGCACCATTCCCAATACATTTTAACTTCCCCTTTAAGCATTCAGTTTGCTGACTCAGGGAATTAGGATCTTGTTAAAGGCTCGGAAAATTTCTCTTCTATTTAGTATTGTTTTTTATTAGGGGTGCACGTGCATGTATGTGCACATGTGCGTTTGTGTGCAGATGAACTCATATGGAGGATAGAGGACAATCTTGCGTGTCACCTTAGGAATGCCATCTATACAGTATCTTTCTGGCTTAGAATTTAGTAAATTCTAGACTGGTGGCCAGAAAGTCCTAGGGAACTAACTGCCTCTGTTGGTTTTGTGTTTGGTTTTTTTGTTGTTGTTTTTAACATGAGTTCTGGGAATCAATCTCTGGTCCTAATACTTGAAAAGCAAGTTCTTTACTGATTGACCCACCTCCTCAATCCTACAGATAATGTATTTATGCATTTATTTACTTTTGAGGCAGAGTCTCACTGTGTAGCCCTAGCTTTCTTGGAACTTGCTGTTAACTGGGCTGTCCTCACACTCACAGAGATCCACCTGCCTTTGTCTCCTGAGTGCTGGGATTAAAGGTGTACACCACTATGCTTGTCCACTTACAGACTTTTTTTTTCTTCAAAATTCCAAGTTCTTTTCAAATTATGTCTGTGTCAGGCATGTCTAGGTTCTGGCCTGGTATCATTTGCTTAACTCTGCTTTCATAACACATCAAGCCAGCAATAAGCCAGCAATACAGCGGATGTGTGAGCATCCTCTCTCTGAGGTGACTTGTATTTTCCAGAAGTTTGTTGTCAAGCCAAGAAATTACCCAAGCACTGGCATGATTGTCCCTGTGAGACACTGAGGGGAAGTTTTCCTGAGCTGCATTGTATATTCTGATACCCTAAGTAGGAACTTTGCTTTAGGTGTACCTTGGTTGGTGCTCAGAATTCACTGGAAGGAGATAGTGTTAGCCTTTCTGGTTGAAGGCTGGAAATGGGTAGTGTCTTGCTGAGTAAGAGGCAGACATGCTTGCAACAAGGCCAGGGACTCCATGGAGGGCCTACATCTGTGTTGGTGGCTGCAGTCACAGAAGTCTTACTGAAGGAGGGATGCTTCAAGCAGGTCTTGGGGATCTGAATCTAAGGCATTAAAAGGGGAGAGTGTAAGAACATTCTGGAAAGGTAGGTACAGAGGTAGAAATGGAACCAGGGTAGGAGTGAGTTAAGGAGTTGCCATAGACGTTTCAGCTGGTAGGAACCAGAGACTGCCTGTGTTGGTGGACAGCCACTGGGGCTGACTAACGGGGTTTTTAGGGTGTTCTTGAACCTGCTGATGCTCTGATTTCCTTTGGCAATGTGAACTAGAAGGGCAGGCACCTGGGCTCCAGATACCCTGTGGTTTCTGCCCCATGGAGGGGTCCTCTTCTTTCTGTTTGGAAGTCATTTATCCTGGAAGAGGCTGAGCCCTTCTCTCTTTACGGCCTTCAGAGGGGTTGCACAAGTGTCCTGCTTACTGGAGGCCATTCTAGGAGAAACTCCAGCAGGCTGTGGACTCAGCCCAGACCTCCTGGCCCCAAAGCCTCAAACCCATGGCTACCCTCCAGGTGGCCAAGACAGTCTGTGACTAGAGGCTTTCATACCTGTGATCACACCTGTGTGCAGAAAGGCCCTTGTGGGTCTTGTCCCTTGTTCAGAAGGTAAGACAGAGCTTGTTAGTGTCCTGACAGCTAATGTAAGTCTGATTGGTTTGCCACCAGCATTGCCACACACCTGGTATATACATAAAAAATGGCCATGCAGACTGGAAGGGAAGGCATGCCACTGCTGTTTGTTACAAAGTAGATATGGTATTTCTATGTAGTCTGTCATCCTGGGAGGTGAAAAATTTGGGGCTGGGAGGATGGGGAATCTGCCCTGCAGTGAAAACATTGATTCTTGTTCTTAAGGGAGCTGTCAGTGTTGTTAAAGGCAACATCTGCCAAAGCTGCTATGGATCAGGTGCAGGAAACCCTGTGTCCTCCTGTGATGTGCACCGTGGAGCCTCCTTGCCTCCAAGGCTGAGAAGGCAAGCCAATGGCTGAAGACAGGTGCTTAAGCCTTTGCACAAAACAAGTTGAAGGATGGGTCAGAGCAAGTCCGGAGGAGACTTTCCTATTTTTGTTAAAAGAGAAGGCTTAAGTACCCTGGCAGGACCCTTGCTTGGTTCCTGTATACATTTCCTCCCAATTTTTCTTTATATTATGGATAAGAGTTTTTAAAAACATTAAATGGGGAAAAGAAATGAGATTTAAAAACAAAACAAAACAAAAAACAAACAAGCCCCTAAGATGCCCTTTGCAGCTGTCTGACCTCAGATGTCAAGTGTACGGCAAATTGAGCTCATTAAACCTGGCAGCCTCTGCCCACTGCTGGCCCAGGCTCGGCTGTGTAGCATTTTAACCATCTATAGTTTTGTGGAGGCAGAAGTACAGATTCCTGGCGTTCATTCCCACAGACAGTTGAGAAGGAAGTGGTAGTATTAAGGTGAGCCTCAGAATTAGGCTTTTAAACAACTATCTCAGCATTCCTAACATACTGACCCTCCCTGTGAAGGTGCCATGCTGAGGGTGAGTTTCCAGAAGAATCCCTCAGCAATTGTCATCTGTGTCTCAGCCAATCATCTGTGAGCCTACCCTCCACACAAAGTGCCTGAGGGCATCCGCTTCACAAACCTTCTGGTTTCCCACACTAAGACCTGTCTCCACTCTGTTCCCCTTCTCACACCTCACATTGTCTCTTCTGCCTCCAGACCTCTTAGACATCTTCTTTCTCATGCTCTTCATTAGCACTTCTTTACCAAGGCCCCAGCTCACCGAGATCAGCCATTTTTGTTTACTGGCTGCTGCCCAGGAGAACACAAGCTTCAGAGCAGCTGTTTGCCTGACTTCTCCACTCGTGGCTCAGAGTGTTTAGTAAATACTTGTTCAACTGTTGTATGAATGAGAGAAAGAAAATCGCATGAGATGTTTCCTTTCCCTGACACGTTTGCATTTTAGGTGTAAGGTGTGCAGGTGCATGTATAGGAGGGTATGGGCGAGGGTTAAAAGGAAGCTCATCTTAACCCAGGGCTGCTGCGTGACTGGGAAAGGTGTGCGCTTGGTTCGGGTTCCATTCTCAAAACACAAATTTCCATAAAAAGCTGAGGAGGCTCTCAGGTTAGCTTACCAATAAGGAGTTCACTCGTGGTTGGAGTTGGAGTCTTATCATTAGGAATCCTCTTATCATTTTTCATTCTGGTTTCTTATTAACTTAGAGCCTTTTCCTGGGACTGAGAGACCGTCACCATGCCTGATGACCTGGGACCTTTATGGTGGTGGTGGGGGGAGGGAGCAAGTGCGAAAGAGCAAGCGAGCTGATTCTCATGAGTTAGTCTCTGATCGAGACACACACACAGTATTAAAATAGCCCTTTTGCATTTGTAGTCTTGTGTGGCTACTGAGCAGTGTCTGTGACTTATGTGATGATCGCATCTAATGTTTTAGTTGGATTAACCTAACTCTTTTGCCTCTGGTCCCCTCTCCATCCCACTCTTCATTTCCTGATAAGGCTTAAAGTAGGGTCTGGGGCAGTACAGTCTTCACAAAATAGCGAAACAGCAAAATCCATCTATCCCTCCCTTAATTTGCAAGCCACGATGTGTGTGTGTGGAAACCTGTTTTCTTTTTAACAGATATAACTGAAAGTGACTCCCCTGTCCACCTGCATTGGATTGCCTTTGTGCCCTAGTGCCAGAAGGGAGGTGAAGAGACAGACTCTGGCTATGTGTGTTGGGGGCTTCTGAGGACAGAGACTGCAGGTAGCACTTGCCTGTGGTCTCACAGAGCAAAGAGGCTGAAGATGGCCCAGCTTGTGACCTTCTGAAGTGCCACCTGTGCTGACTCAGGAGCCCACCTGTACATGTGCACCTGTCAGACTCAGAAGCACACCTGTACATGTGCACCTGTCAGACTCAGGAGCACACCTGTACACGTGTAACTGACTGAGCTGGGAAACTCTGCCCTTTGACACACCTGCATTATATTCACAGCTTTTTACTCACCCTGTTTTTTTGTTGTGATAAGGGGCATAGCTTAGTGACAAAGAGCAGCCAGTATGCAGGAGGCCCTGGGATCATCCCGAATCAATCAATCAATCTCCCCCCCCCTCTTGCGTGCACACATGCACACTCCCCATTCCTAAACCAACAACAATAAGTAGTTTTCTCCATAGAAAAGCCTGTGATATTCTTGTTATGACCCATTCTGCCATGTTTTTGCACTAAGTTTTGTCATTTTTCTATTTAAAAAAAGAGAGAAGTTAATGCCTGTCACTCTCTTCTTTAAAAAAAGTTGAGTTATGATTAATTTTCTGCTTCTGTCAAGCTGGGGTCACTCAGGGGAATCACTGACTCCATTCTGATAGTTCGGCTTTTCTCTTTAGCCAAGGTGCTCTGCCCTGACGACCCCTCCCTCGGCTTGCTGCTTCCCGGGGATGTATGCTTGACGAGGGAATGCTGGTGCTGCGCTCAGCACTGCTCAATAAGTATTTTACTTTTAATGTGTTTAATGTGTTTGGGAATGAGCACATGAGTGTAGGTGCAAAAGTAGACCAGAAGAGGGCAGTATATCCTGTGGAGCTGGAGTTTCCGGTGATTGTGATGCCACCCATTGGAGTTCTGGGAACCGAACTTGGGTCCTTACTGCTCTCAATGCTGAGCCATCTTCAGTCCCCTTCACCACTTCTTACCTGTGTATTTTCTCTCAACCTGCTGCAAACACCGTTAGTTGTTAACGTTTAGTTGTAACCCTTAGTGGCAGTTGGATCCTCCTGGGAGTATTAAGGATCTGGAACCATCAGAGATTAGCCCCACTGCTTGCTGCTCTCATGACTTCTTCAGGCGAGTCATCTTAATCCTTTGCTTCTGTTTCTTTATCTGGAAAACAGATTCAAAGTAGCACTTGCTACCCACAGCTCTGGTGCAATGGAGGGTTAATGTTAAAGCTGGTGGTCTATGCCAAGCCTGTTTAAATGTTAGCTCTGTAATACTTGTGTTTGCTGATGCAAGTGTTTGTCCCAGCCACATTGTTACACATCGGGAGCTGGCTCTTCTCATTGTCTTGGTTTTTGTTCTTGCCTGGAATACTCTCCATAAATAGAGTCTTCAGTTTCTTCCAGCCTGGCCTGTTCCCTCGTTTTCAGACATAGCCCTGGAAGACCACCACAGCCTGTTTTTCCCTTTGAGTGGCCAAAGCTGACACTCTGGCCAGCATCTGTGGCTAGAATGCGCGGAAACCCCTTGCCCTCCCTGTTTGATCCAAATTCTCTAGGTGTCCCTCACCTGCTCTCACTTCTGGGAGCAGAGCATACACAGCCACCCTGCCTCCTGGTGGCCCTGGTTGGGATTGGGGTATTGCCCAGCATCCTAGCATAAAGCACTCTCCTGCCTGTGACCCAACTTTCAGGCACACTCTGGCCATTTCTTCTGTAGACGATAACATGATGGCATTGATTCCAGGCTCCTCCCGTTCTTCCTCCCTCCGTTCCTCCCCTTGCACAGATACCTCTATTGAATGACAAGGAGATTTGAGGACCGAGCTTACTCTGGCGCAGAGTGGTTTTGTGGTGATTCTGTGACCATGGACTAGGTTGTTTCTATTGCATGACAATCGTACTCATGCTAGAAAGGACAAAGCCTGCAAAGCTCCTTAACCCTGTTCCTTGGTTTTCTCTCTCTTCCCTCTCCAGTCCTGATTTGTGTGTACATCCCTTAAGTTTGGGCTCCTTAAGAGTTAGACCCTGGTTCTTAGCTCCCCTTTTGGCTTCTTCTCAAAAGGTTACTCTTACGTTGAGTCATACAAAATTGCTATTATTTGACCTTTTTTTTAACCTCACCAATTATGATTTCATAAAGCTCACTGTAGGCGCACTTATGGTTTGCCTGCAGGGCTGCTCCCAGGCTGCAGTGAGGCAGCCACTCAGCTCACGGGCGTTGTAATAAGACCCAGTTGGCTGCTATGGTCTGAGTGGCTTGCCAGAAAATATAAAGTTAATCCCTCAGGCTGAATGTTACTCCTGTCTTTGCAGCGTCAAATCTATTTGTTTATTTTAGTCCAAGCTGACTTGTGATGTCTGGCGAAGCTTGGTAGCAACAGTACTGGAATCCTTTGGCCTCTCTGATGCTCCTTTCCTTTATTCTGCAGTCTTCACGTACAATGGCGCCAACCGGGAAACTTGCGAACACAGCCACGGCCAGTGCTCCCGGCATGCCTTCTGCACCGACTACACCACTGGCTATTGCTGCCACTGCCAGTCTAGGTTTTATGGAAACGGGAAGCACTGCCTGCCAGAAGGTGATTGACAGGCTGGGGTGGCTGTGGGTATACTGTTGACACCTGCCTGTTTCATCTAGTTAGTGTGGGTTCTGCCTGGTGGTACATCTCTACTGCCTGAATCCCAGCACCAGTAACTTGCAAGGGTTCAGAGGATGGCTGAGTGATAACTAGGTTTGGACTGGTTTCCCAATTGGAGAATGACTTGAAATGTTTCCATTTTGCCCTCTTTCTGACTTGGTTAGAGCTAAAGGGTAAAGAAGGGGAATGGAAGAGATTAGTCAGACCTGGGCCATAAGTGAAGAATTGGTCATTGAAGGACTTGTTAAGCTAAACGTGGCTCATACCTACAAATATAACACTGTTGAAACAGGAGAAGCAGGAGGCTCGAGAGTTGAAGGCTAGCCTGGATTTCATTGTGAATTTCAGCATCCTCAGTTGGCATCTGTAGAGAGCTTATTTCAAGAAAACCAAAATCATCAGTGATAACGATAATAGTAAGGCAATGTTTCCAAAGAATGAGCATTCGGTGTGGTCAGGACAGTGAGTTCATCTGTGTACACCTGTCCCCGCCCTGATGATGGCCAAGGCAGAAAGGATTGCTTTTGTCTTTCAGGGGCACCTCACCGAGTGAATGGGAAAGTGAGTGGCCACCTCCGAGTGGGTCACACTCCTGTGCACTTCACTGACGTGGATCTACACGCTTACATCGTGGGCAATGATGGCAGAGCCTACACTGCCATCAGTCATATCCCACAGCCGGCAGCCCAGGCCCTGCTCCCTGTCCTGCCCATCGGAGGCCTGTTTGGCTGGCTCTTTGCTTTGGAGAAGCCAGGCTCTGAGAATGGCTTCAGCCTCACAGGTGAGCAGAACTCAGGTCTGGCAAATAGGGATTCAAAAGTGTACCTGGGCAGCCTCTGCAGATGATTTTATTTCTGGAGAAATGTGCTCAGATTCCAGGCTGTTGGAGGTTTTGAATTACAGAGGTTTTGCTGTATATTCAAAGCTTTCTGCTCTTACGGAAACACAATGGTTTAAAGACTGGTAAGTTTCTATTTTCTACTATCATCCCTCAGCATGGAAGTATCAAGTTGGTGTAACTTTGGTACTTTCTCTGTTAATATGCTAGATTTTAAAGAGGACAGGACGGGGGAATTGAGAGTCTTTGAGACCTTTGGGAGATCGGGGGTCTGCAGTTTCTAGAACTGAGCCTAGGCACAGCATACTCTCCTTAGGTACCGTCTCCAGCAGAGACTGGGGAGAGGACATGCACACTCGTGTCTTGAACTCATGCCTCTTATGTGATAGGCAAGTGCTCTGTCATCCAAGCCCCAGCCAGTCCTCAGAATGACTTAAACAAGAGTTCTTGTCACCCACTTGCTGATTTCTGTCTTCTGCAGGTGCTACCTTTGTCCATGATGTGGAAGTGACTTTTTACCCTGGAGACGAGAGGGTTCGTATCACTCAAACTGCCGAGGGGCTTGACCCAGAGAACTATCTAAGCATTAAGACCAACATTGAAGGCCAGGTGCCCTTCATCCCTGCGAATTTCACAGCCCACATTCCTCCGTACAAAGAGTTTTATCATCACAGGGACTCAGGTATGTGTCTTTCTACAGCTGTAAAGTGGACATAGTGCCGACCTCTCAGGAGAGTGACAAGGGTCAGGTTAAATGAGTTGTCACATGGAGTGTCCCAAACTGCATGGAACACAAAATGAGGTTCATATAATTTTGTTATTTTTTTAGGAAGTATATATAGTTAGTATTTTATGTGTGTATATATATAAAATATATAGGTGATTAGAGTGCTGACTTCTGTCCACAAGAATGTCCTAGTATATTTGCACATTATTTTTTGATAGTAATAACTGATAAGATACAACCCTCTTGGGCATTCGTTACATTGATTATTAGAATTTATGATTGTCTCTAACTGTTTCAGCTGATGGTTTTAGTTTGCTTTAGGAGTCACAGAAAGATGTTTTCCAGCGTTCTGAAAAAAGCTGATATTTGGACTCAACATATAGATGGATTCAAATCCTGAATTTGCCATTTAAAATCTATGGGGGAAAAAATCATTGGAAAGTCTATTTTCTCATTTTTTTAGCATAAGAATAAAAACATATTTTCTGATGTTGATACATTGCATAAGGTATAATTAGCTGTATAAAGTATGTCCAGCTTGCCCTGTCTCAGGGTAGCTATGAATGTAGCCCAGCGCATTTGCAGATACTACTGTCATGTCAGAATGTCAGAAGGTTGGGGACACCTATACACAGCATTAGCTGCATGAAAGGTGCTCCAGTGGTCATGATTGTCATTTTGCAGTTGATGTGTCTTGAGTGGCACCTGCTCTGTGTCCCCGGCTTCCAGCATGAGAGCTGGGTACATGGAAAAGGCTAGAACACAGACCTTAACTGTGTTCAGAATATACTGGGGCCAGTCTTGGAGCAAGTCTCAAGAAGAGTAACCTTTTGCTTTGCCTTTCCCTAAGTCTTGCTGGCTGATCAAAGCTGTGGAGGTGGGATGAGAGGTTATTTCCTTTGTGGAATGTGGCTCGAATCTTGAGAGATGTAGAGATGGATTGTCTTGAGTTCCAGTCAGAGATCTACCACATCCCAGGCTACTTACCTAAACTCTGGTCTCTGCACACACAGTCAGAGGCTGTCTTACATGGCTATGAAGAGCATAAGTGTGTGTGTATAGCCCTCAGCACTGGCAGCTTCCACACACCAGGACATCATGACACTTGTTTCTAGTGTGTGATGACAACCGCCACCCTTGTAGTCCCTCCTCTTCCTCAGCAGCGTGGCTTCGTATCCACTCAGCTTCTGTGAAGTTCTGGTTCTTTTTTTGCAAGCTTCCTGTAGAAACTGGGAGTTCTCAAGGGAACCCGCTCTCAGGAATGGGGTAGAAAACTGGGAAAATACACCAAACATGAACATGTTTCTTTTCAGTATCTTAAAAATTTACCAGTGTACCTGTAAAATGTTTGTTACAGTCGTGACGTCCTCCAGTTCCAGAAGTTTCTCTCTCACTTCTGGTTCTATCAACCAAACATGGTCCTATCACATCGACCAGAACATCACTTACAAGGCGTGCAGGCACGCCCCCAGACACCTGGCCATCCCTGCCACCCAGCAGCTGACTGTGGATCGGGCCTTTGCTTTGTACAGTGAAGATGAGGGTGTGCTGAGGTTTGCTGTGACCAATCAGATTGGCCCTGTTGAAGGTATGTATCTCATTTTGTTGAGAAAAAAAATCATGTCCTTTCTTAGAAGCCTTAGAACAGGTCTGGGGTGAGTCAAATTTGGTGAGTGCCAGAGAGAAAAGCCAATGAGGCTGCCCTGGCCTGCAGGTGTAGATGGAGAACACAGTCCCTGCCAAAGGTCACACACATGTATAGAGCATGAACCCATAGGCTTGGTGGTACCAGTCAGGCTTCTCCCCACTGTTGGGGAGGTGGATGGAGGCAGATCCCTGGCGCTCATTGGCTGGCCAATATAGCTGAATTAGTGAGCTCTGAGAACAGCTGTGGGCAGAAGCACTCATTCTTAATCCAAGTTCAGACCCTGGATCCCAAGAGGTGGCATGAGAGTGTCATCCTCTGACCTCTACACATGCACTGTGGCATGCACATGCCTACCATGGCATGAGTCTGCATATACATACTCACAGTAAATTTTTAAAAATTAAGGTGGCAATTAACAATCATGGAAGACACCTGATACTGACCTGGCCTCCACATGTGCATACACGCAGACATATAAACACATGTATACTATATCACAGACACACAGTGTAATACTTGTGTCTTGAAACATTACATATATATATATGTATATACACACACACACACACACACACACACACACACACACCCCTATATACCTACCTACATATACACACACAAGTGAGGATATGTTCCAGGCAAAGATGTTATATTGATTTGGTATTACTTTCCAAATTGTTTTATTGATCTACCCAATATCTATCAGGAATCACCTGGCTCATTTGATTCTAAAACAGACATTCCAGGAACCCTTAGTAGCTAATACGATCATCTTGGATCAACTGGCCAAATGCAAAAGAATGAAGTAGGGCCCCTGTCTCACCTCACACATAAGCAAAACCCAACTCAAAGTGGATCAAAGACCTAAATGTAAGGGCTGAACTTTTACACTTACTAAAGGCTTTTTCTCCAGATGGCCACACTATTTGGAGAGGTTCCAGAAACTAGGAGATGGGCACTAGCTGGAAGCATTAGATCTTGGGGTCATGACCTCATGGGTTATATCATGTCCTGACTGCCACATACCACCATCATGATCTGCCTTACCAGAGTCAGAAGCAACAGAGTCAGTCTGTACACTGAAACCCAAGCTAGAATAAATCTGTCCTTTATGAATTTCTTTATTTTGAGGCAGTGATGGTAACACTAACAAAGCAACATTCTTCATAATAGCCAACAAGTAGAAGCACCTAGATGATCACTAACTAATGCACACACAAAACAGTCCTAAACCCACACGGTAGAGTAATACTCAGCCATGAAAAGGAATGAAGTACTCATATGTGCTACAGCATGGGTGGAGTGTGACAGCATCACGCTAAGTGAAAGAAGCCAGCGACAAAGGACAGCAGAGTGCATGATTCCATGTACCTAGAGTGCCCACACACAGGCAACCCCGAGAGTTACAAAGTAGACAAATGGTTGCTCATGGACAAGAGGGAATACACCAAGGGATAGTCACTTAGGGGTGCAGGGTTTCTTCTTAGAGTCATGAGTGTCCTAGGAATTGATCATCACAGTGGTGGTGCAGCCCTGACTATAGTGAAATCATTGTTTTGTCCTGCAAATGAGTGGATGATGTGTCACAGGTATTACATCTTATCTGTAGGAAGCTGACAGAAGCAACTCTGTGGTTCACATTTCACTGGCCCTTAGCCCCACCTGACAGATAGGAACGTTCTGTGGCCATCAGCAGTAGAACACAGCAGAACCTTATGTGGAAGACAGTCTCAGTTGGCTGCAGACTGGGTGATTCCAACTCTGAAACACTGGAGAAGGGAGAACTGTAGAGATGGTAAAAAAGAGCAGTGATGGGCAGGGAGGAGAGGAGGAGGGATGGAAGAGCAGGACCTTCTAGGTCTGTGAAGCCACAGTGCACCAGACTCTGATGGAGGGTTCGTACTTTTACACATGTGTTATTCAAAACCTGAATGCTTACACACAGGGTGAACCCTGATAGTTTTAAAAGATTTTTATACTTGTGTGTGTGTGTGTGTTTGTGTGTGTGTGTGTGTGTGTGTGTGTGTGTGAGAGAGAGAGAGAGAGAGAGAGAGAGAGAGAGAGAGAGAGAGAGAGAGAGAGAGAGAGAAGCGCGAGCAGGTGCCCGGGTAGGCCAGAAGCATCAGATCCACTGGAGCTGGAGTTCTGGCAGCTTACGTGGGTACTGGGAACCAAACTCCAGTCTTCTGGAAGAGCAAGCAGCAAGGGCTTTTAACCACTGAGCTATTTCTCCAGTCCAAGCCCTATTATTATTAAATTGTATTTATGTTTATTTGTTTTAAAAATGAATATACGAAGTAATAGGTTTTGTTATGGGTTTTCATACAGATTTTTGTTTTGAGTTATCTTTCCTATTCCCTTTTCCTGTCTCTCTGCCTTGCTGCCCACTTATCCCCTTCCCCAAGAGTGGACCCTGTTCTTTGATGGGAAAAAAAAATATATATATATATATATATACATATATATATATATATATAAATAATTTTCCCCAGTGAGGAAGAGAAGCCTATGGCCCTTGCTGTCCTCCATCCCCAGTCCTCTGTCCCAGGCAGTTGTTTCTCATATTGTCAGAGAACAGAACTTGCTGCTTGTCCTCCCTCAATAGGGATCAGAGGGCCATTCAGTGAAGCCCAGTGATGGCTCCTTTAAGGAAACCATCCTTCTCTTTCTAAGTGAGTCAGTGAGTTCCAGCTCTTCTGTCGGGGAATCACTAGTTTAAGTGGGTGAAATATGAAACGGCTTAAGAAGGACATGGTCGTCCTTGGCTTATAGTGAGAGGAGAGCTAGCAGGCTCAGAGATTATGAATAGTGATGTGGTTTTAGGAACATTTTCTCAAGATGTTACTGGAAGCTACACTTAGTGGCTGCATGCAGAAGGGTTCACTGAAATAGCTGGTTTTTAAAATTTCTGTAGTTTTTCTTAATAAGGAGCTATGCAGTTCCCCTCTGCACTGGATTCTGAATTATATAACTAGTTCTATAACTGTATTGTCTGTTAAATCAATATTGTGTAATTATGGATGGATGTGCTTATATTGACGTAAATACGGTAGTGCAGGTCACCTCTGGTCTGCTTCTAAGATTCCCTTTTTATTTTAATGCCTAGCAGGGAGATAGGCTCTGACAAACACATGCACACTTTAATCTTTCCTGGAATTCACTGTGGTCAAGTCTGGATGCTGAGAAGGGATGCCAAAGAAGGCTAAGCATTGATTTTTATAAAGTATTTTGAAGATGACTGTTCCCTTTGGAAGATATTCTAAAATGAGGAAATAATTGTGGGGAGAGCGAAGTTCTGGTCTTGCATGGGCCTGGTGTGAGGCTGTGACCCTGTTCTTAGTTAAAATCTGGCCAGAGACTGGTTTCAGGAACTCTGCATGCCCGCATTAACTGAGCACTGCTACTCCAATGCTGTGTTCTTGTCCCTTGGCAAATAGATGCAGAAGAAGGCATTCCCAGGATGGCTGGCAGCCCTTTTTTTCCCCCCCTTTTGGTCTGGCAGAGATTTCCTTATGTTAGCCAACATTGAGGTGAACTGGGGATAGACCCATAGCCAACCTCACACTCAGGCCCCGTGTGGGGAACTGAAAATGAATGTTCTGCTGCAGGAATGCACTGTGCTGCTTCTTATAGAGTGGATGGCAGGAGTTTACTAGGAAGGGGAGGTATCTCAGCCGTGGCATTTCAGATTACAGCAGACTGTTGTTGAAGCTAACCAGAAGAGTCTTCACTTGGGCAGCAGGATGGTAAAAGTACTAGGGAGACAGCGAAAGTCCTGAAGGATTGGGGGAAGCTGACCCTCTGAAGTACGCTGTGGTAGCTAGCAATTGGGGTAACCCGCAGCTACTTTGCACAGGTCTCAGCTGTAGAAGATGGCTGGGGAGTCACAGGTGAGATAGAGGTGACAGAGACTCCTGTCGCTAAGGGCAGGCAGAGGTCCTGCCAGGGTGTGTCTACAGATGCTAGGATTCTGGCTTCTGACAGTGAGAGAACTGTTGTATCAGTAACAGATGGGGTGTCCAGGGGTGTGTACGAACCTGCCCTCCAAGACAGGGTTCAGTCACAGACGTAAGAGGCAGAGGCCTCGTTATATTGTGCACAGAGTAATGTGGTAGCAGGAGTGGCTCAGTGCAGAGACGGACAGTTGTACATGGGGCTCCTGAAACTCTCTGTAATCCAAGATTACAGTTCCACAGACTGAGGACAAAGAGCTGCCACACTGAGGAGGAAGGAGAGCACAGTCCCTCAGGACTGTGGAAACACCAGCCCTGGAAATACATTATGCTCAATTTTAAAGAGCGAACCCAGGAGATGCAAGCGATGTCATTTGGATTTTGCACTGAGGAGTCAGAAGAGAGTCACTGGGCATTTGAACTTCATCCTGTTGTCTGTGCCTTTGGGTTAGTTAGGTAACTTTATGAGGGTCCTCTGATGACAGCTGCAGCAGAGAGGTGGGCAGCCTGGGCCCTGGCCTGGGGCTGTTTGGATTTTTATCTTCTGACCATAACCTTAGGCAAGCTCCTTGACTCTGTGCTGCACAAAGAACAAAGGTAGGCCATTGATACTGTCTGCTGTCTGCACATGTGATCATGCAGATTAATGGGGTTGGATATGGAGGGTTCCCAACACCACTGAGGAGATGCTCAAGGATTGTCAACTACAACTTGTATGACACTCTCCAGAAGTTATTTAGAGATGGATTCACAAGTAGGCAGTGAGAAGCTATTTCTTTCTTGTTTTTCTGCTTTTATCTTTTTGTTGTTGTTGTTGTTGAATTTCATCTTTTTTTTCTTTTCTTTTTATTGGATATTTTCTTTATTTACATTTCAAATGTTATCCCCTTTCCCAGGTCCTCCTCCCAAAACCCCCATCCCATCCCCCTTCCCCTTCTATGAGGATGTAACCCCACCCACCTACCCACTCCCACCTCCCCACCCTCGAATTCCCCTACACTGGGGCATTGAGCCTTCACAGGACCAGGGGCCTCTCCTCCCATTGATGCCCAACAATGCCGTCCTCTCCTACATATGCAGCTGGAGTCATGGGTTCCTCCACATGTATTCCTTGGTTGGTAGTTTCGTCCCTGGGAGTTCTGGGGCGGGGGATGTCTGGTTGGTTGATATTGTTGTTCTTCCTATGGGGTTGCAAACCCCTTCAGCTCCTTCAGTCCTTTCTCTAACCCCTCCATTGGAGACCCTGTGCTCAGTCCAGTTGTTGGCTGTGAGCATCTGCCTCTGTATTTGTCAGGCTCTGGTAGAGCCTCTCAGGAGACAGCTATATCAGGCTTCTGTCAGCATGCACTTCTTGGCATCCACAATAGTGTCTGGGTTTGGTGACTATATGGGATGGATCCCCAGGTGGGGCAGTCTTTGGATGGCCTTTTATCTCTGTTCCACACTTTGTCTCCATATTTGATCCCGTGAGTATTTTGTTCCCCTTTCTAAGAAGGACTGAAGCACCCACACTTTGGTCTTCCTTCTTGAGCTTCATGTAGTCTGTGACCTGTATCTTTAGTATTTCAAGCTTTTGGGCTAATATCTACTTATCAGTGAATGCATACCATGTGTGTTCTTTTGTGATTGGGTTAACTCACTCAGGATGACATTTTTTAGTTCCATCCATTTACCTAAGAATTTCATGAATTCATTGTTTTTAATAGCTGAGTAATACTTCATTGTGTAATTGTACCACATTTTCTGTATCCATTCCTCTGTTGAAGGAAACCTGGGTTCTTTCCAGCTTCTGGATATTATAAACAAGGCTGCTATGAACACAGTGGACCATGTGCCCTTGTTATATGTTGGAACATCTTTTGGGTATATGCTCAGGAGTGGTATAACTGAGTCCTCAGGTAATGCTATGTCCAATTTTCTGAGGAACTAATTTTGTCAGACTAATTTTGACAGTGATTGTACCAGCTTGCAATCCCACCAACTATGGAGGAGTGTTCCTCTTTCTCCACATCCTCGCCAGCATCTACTATCACCTGAGTTTTTAATCTTAGCCATTCTGACTGGTGTGAGGTGGAATCTCAGGGTTGTTTTGATTGCATTTCCCTGATGACTAAGGATGCTGAACATTTCTTTAGATGCTTCTCAGCCATTTGAGTTTTCTCAGTTGAGAATTCTTTATTTAGCTCTGTACTCCATTTTTAATACGGTTATTTGGTTGTCTGAGTCTAATTTCTTGAGTTCTTTGTATATATTGGATATTAGCCCCCTATCTGATGTAGGATTGGTAAAGATCTTTCCCCAATCTGTTGGTTGCTGTTTTGTCCTATTGACAGTGTCCTTTGCCTTATAGAAGCTTTGCAATTTTATGAGGTCCCATTTGCCAATTCTTGATCTTAGAGCATAATCCATTGGTGTTCTGTTCAGGAACATTTCCCCTGTGCCCATGTATTCAAGGCTCTTCTGCACTTGCTCTTCTATTAGTTTCAGTGTATCTGGTTTTATGTGAAGGTCTTTGATCCACTTAGACTTGAGCTTTGTACAACGAAATAAGAATGGATCACTTTGCATTTTTCTATGTGCTGACCTCCAGTTGAACCAGCACCATTTGTTGAAAATTCTGTCTTTTTTCCACTGGATGGCTTTAGCTCCTTTGTCAAAGATCAAGTGACCATAGGTGTGTGGGTTCATTTCTGGGTCTTCAATTCTATTCTATTGATCTTCCTGTCTATCTTTGTACCAGTACCATGCAGTTTTTATCACTATGGCTCTGTAGTACAGCTTGAGGTCCGGGATGGTGATTCCTCCCAAAGTTCTTTTATTGTTGAGAATAGTTTTTGCTACCTTGGGTTTTTTGTTATTCCAAATGAATTTGAGAATTGTTCTTTCTAACTCTAAGAAGAATTGAGTTGGAATTTTGATGGGGATTGCTTTTGGCAAGATGGCCATTTTTACTGTATTAATCCTGCCAATCCATGAGCATGAGAGATCTTTCCATCTTCTGAGATCTTCGATTTCTTTCTTCAGAGACTTGAAGTTCTTGTCATATAGATCTTTTACTTGCTTTGTTAGATTCACACCAAGTTATTTTGTATTATTTGTGACTATTGTGAAGAATGTAATTTCCCTAATTTCTTTCTCAGCCTGTTTATTTTTTGAGTAGAGGAAGGCTACTGATTTGTTTGAGTTAATTTTATATCCAGCCACTTTGCTGAAGTTGTTTATCAGGTTTAGGAGTTCTCTGGTGGAATTTTTGGGGTGGGAAGCTATTTTTGTTTATTTGGTTGTATCTTAGTTTGGGTTTTCCTGCTGTGAACAGACACCATGAGCAAGGCAACTCTTATAAAAACAACGTTTAGTTGCGGCTGGCTTATAGGTTCAGAGATTTAGTCCAGTATCATCAAGACAGGAGCATGACAGCGTCCAGGCAGGCATGGTGCAGGAGGAACTGAAAGTTGTACATCTTCACCTGAAGGCTGCTGGTGGAAGACTGACTTTCATGCCTTAAGGGTTAGGGTTAGGGTTAGGGTTAGGGTTAGGGTTAGGGTTAGGGTTAGGGTTAGGGTTAGGGTTAGGGTTAGGGTTAAGCCCACACCCACAGTGACACACTTACTCAAACAGGGCCACACCCAATAGTGCCACTCCCTGGTTCAAGCATATACAAACCATCACAGGTTGTATCTTTACAAAGATAGTTTTGGGACCCCCAAAGATAACCCAAGATGGCTCAATGGGTAATGAGCTTGCCATATGTACTAGTCTGCTTTCTGTTACTGTGATAAACTTCATGACCAAAACCAGTTTGGGAAGGGGAAAGTTTACTTCATTTTATAGATTACAGTCTATCATGAGGGAAAGTCGGGGCAGGAACTCATGGCAGGAGCAAGAGGTAGAAGTTGAAGCAGAAGCCATGGAGGGGTGTTGCTTGTTCCTCCTTGCCTGCCCAGTTTGCTTTCCTAACATCCCAGGACCACCTGCCCAGGGCTGATACCACTCACTGTCAGCTGAGCCTTTTTCCATCAATCATTAATCAAGCAAATGCTCCACAGACGTGCCTGTAGGCCAGTCTGATGGAGGAGGCATTTTCTCAAATGAGAGTTTTTAGTCAGATGACCTTAGTGTGTGTTAAGTTGATAAAAATCTAACCAGTGACCAGAGGACAATTCCTGAAACCCACATTAAGTGTGGAAGGAGAGAGCATACTCCACGGAGCTGCCCTCTGATCTCTACAGGTACACTAAGTACACTGCAACATTTGAGTGTGCACATATGCGTGTACGTACACATATACAAAATTACATATGTAATCGTTTTTAACTTTCAAAATGACTTAGAATTCCAAATTTATCCTCCTGATAGAGATAGCTGATGATAGAGAAACATTCCAATCTCCAGTAAGATATGGAAGTATCAACAGTAGTAGAAACTGTGTGTGTGTGTATGTGTGTGTGTGTGTGTGTCTGTCTGTCTGTCTGTCTGTCTGTCTGTCTGTCTGTCTGTCTGTTATGTACATGCAGTGATCTGGGGCATTACAAGCTTGAACCAAGGTCTGTTTGGATGACTTACTGTCATGCCTAGTGTTTTAAGCACTAACATGCTAGCCTTCTCAGCTATAGCACATATGAGCCCTTGAGCTAGGAATCTTCCTAAAACTGAGATTCTAACTGGGAGAGAGCCTGAGACCCTGCGAGGTTTTAGATTCAATTCACAGAAACAGTGAGACTGAAGTCAGAGACTGACAGACAGAGCCAGAAGTTTGGAGGTTGAGTCTGCGCCAACACACTTGCTGACTCTGGATTGTTCACCTTTCTTATGGGAACAGACGTCTAGCACAGAGGCATCGTGAGAGCCCAGGAGATGCTAGAGGCCTTCTTGCCCTGGAAGCAAAGCTACTGAGAGCCAGACCCTGCTCTGCAGCATAGGCACGAAGACGCTGTTAAATTAACATTGAGATATAAGTAGTCCACCTTTGATTTGAATAGCAAAGACTCCCGTCTCCTTCCTTTGTCCCACATTCTCTCTGTGACAGTCACTCTGCTTATTTCTGTTTCCTGTGCGTAGTGGACTCAGCCCCTGCTGCAGTGAATCCTTGCTATGACGGAAGCCACACCTGTGACACAACAGCAAGGTGCCACCCGGGGACAGGTGTAGACTACACCTGCGAGTGCACGCCTGGGTTCCAGGGTGATGGCCGGAGCTGTGTGGGTGAGAGACATGTTCTCTGTTTCTGTCGCGTAGCTCTGGTTTTCACCTTCCTCTTTCCTACGTCACAGTCCGTGGAGGACAAGAACCTGTGGTCTTTGTGGTCGTCCTCAGGCAATGATTTTAGCCTCTGTTAATCTGGATATCATAATATGAGAGCTGAGGCAGAATCTGACTAGGTTTGGGAAGATAGTGCAGAGGTGGGTATTGGGTTAAAGCTATAGAAAGAACCCATCTAATGAAAATAAAATTATTTTACTTTTTAAAAGAGTTTCTAAAGTATTCAAAAATTATTTTCCTATGTCCTAACTGGAAAGAGTTGAAAATATTTTTCCTTATTTCTGATGAATTGCTACTTGGGTTTTTGCCCAGTGTCGAAAACTCTAGAATTTCTATGCTTTCCATTTACCAACCATTATTCCCACTGAAGCATCAGAGGAAAATTAAGTCATTGGGCCTTCATGTCTGGAACACTCTGTCTCATCAGTGCTTTCTGTTCTCATTTTTGCCTAGATGTTAATGAATGTGCCACTGGCTTCCACCGCTGTGGCCCCAATTCTGTGTGTGTCAACTTGGTGGGAAGCTACCGGTGTGAATGCCGTAGTGGCTATGAATTTGCAGATGACCAGCACACTTGTATCTGTGAGTACCAGAATCCTTTTTTCCTTTAGCTAAGAGGCTGCTGAGTCCTACCTTGTGATTCACTTACATCTCTGCTGTACCTGCTGTACAGAGCCTCTGACATGTGGCTTTTCTGAAGTATGCAGCCAGCCCTCTGCTGTTGTTCAGCTCTGTCCTGTCACGATGACACATCACCATTGGGTTTTTCCCATCTAGGTATTATATTGAGTTACCGGAGGATGTTCATAGTTGGAATTCTGGGGTCACATGACCAGATAGCGACTAATAACACCCCCGCTCTAGAAAGAATTCATGTTGAAAGGTGCCTGTCTTGTGTGAGGAGCCAAAGACCCCATCCACAATAAATATACCTTCTATGAATGGATTCGAAAGACCTAGACTTCCAAATTTATCCCACAGGTGGAGCTGATAATAAACACACATTTCAGTCTCCAGTAAGATGACAGTGTAACAGTGGTATTAGGAACTGCATGGGGTGTGCCTGCCTGTCTATCTGTCACATGTGTGCAGTTCTCTGGGGAATTACAAGCTGTAGCCTGGATCTGTTTTGATCACTTATTGTCATGCCTAATATTTTAAACACAGACACACACTAGCACATCTGAACTCTAATAGGCATATGAACCTGAGTTAGAAATCTTGATAGAATTGAGATTCTGACTGATACAAGCCCTGAGACCCTGTGTTCCTTAAGTTCCGCAGGTGTGCTGATGCTGTTAGTCTATGGGTGGGGCGATTAAGAGAATGACACTCTCTCTCTCTCTCTCTCTCTCTCTCTCACACACACACACACACACACACACACACACATTTAAACTCTCACTTTCTTTTCAGTGATTGCCCCACCTCCCAACCCTTGCCTTGATGGCAGTCACACCTGTGCCCCTGAGGGGCAGGCCCGGTGCATTCACCATGGAGGCAGCTCATTCAGCTGTGCCTGCCTACCAGGCTTTGTTGGCACTGGGCATCAGTGTTCTGGTGAGTACCTGTGGGTAAGTCTTGAGGACTCTGCATGGTCCCTTTAGGTATACATCCTCATAGAGACACAGCTTCTCCCCTCCTATGACTCAGCCTTGGGATTGCTGAAAGAGAGCAGGCATCCTTGGAGTCAGAAAGGGAGCCCAAGAGTGTTCTTTTGGTGCCAGACTGGTGAACACCCATGGTTATCCTGGAGTGTTGGTATCAGCTTGGAAACCTTCTGTTCCTTGGAGCTAGTGTAGGATGGGAGGGACTCATACCCACAGTTCTTTCTAAATTCTCCCACCTTCATCAAACACCTGGTGAGATGGGCTGTTGTGGTGTTTAGCTTGGTTGGCTGGTTGGCTGGTTGGTTGGTTGGTTGGTTGGTTGGTTGGTGACAGGGTCTGGTTTCCCTGTGTAGTCCAGCTGGCTTGAAACACAAAGAGTTTTACTTGCTTCTGCTTCAAGTATCAAAGGGGTGTGTCATCAGACCTGGCAGTTTTTATTATGAACTTGTCATGACCTCGATTTATCTGGGAAGAGAGAGCCTCAGTTGAGAAACTGCCTCGATCAGCTTTGCCCGTGGGCCTTCTCTTGATTGCTAACTGATGTAGGAGGGCCCAGTACTGGGGGTGTATTCCTGGGCAGTGTATGAATGCCAGCAAAGCTTAGCCTGAGAGTGAGCCAGGAGAGCAAGCATTGATCTGCAGTGTTGAGCCTCCGTGCTCTCTGCTCCAGTTCCTGTTTTGAGTTACTGCGATGGGTTGTGGTCTGGAAGTGTAAGCGGTAAAATGAACTTTCCTAAACTGCTTTTCTTAAGTGTTTTATCTCAGCAACAGAACAGCTCAGTAGAACAAGGATTGGGGTGAAGGGGCCATGCTGTGGACGTTGGTCATGAAGGCCCAGGGAGTTCCAAAGCTGTCCTAGCACATTATCTCGGGAGGCCCAGGTATGAGGTGGCAAAGGAGAAAAGATTTCCAGAGGAGGCTCTTTTTCATTTCAAATGCTTTCTAACCCTTATTTTCTCATGGTTTTCTCTTACAATAACCAAGTTTTGGTTTTGTCATATACTGTAGTCTATTTAGACAATTTAGAAGCTTCCCTGAATAACCTTTATATTGATGCATTCTTCAGTTTTCTAAGCATTCACACTATTGAGTATGAATCTGCTCTTTAAACAACCTCACCAGTCCCGTCTGCTCTCTGTGGGTCAGGAGTGTGGCCATGATTCAGCAGGTGCTAAGTCTTAGGACCTCTAGTAAGGCTTAAGACAAGAGTCACCGCTTAGTATGGACATGCGTCAGGACTGTTGGACACAGCACCTCTGTTCTGTCATAGCAGGCTGTGCCCTTTAGTTTCTTGTCATGTGGGCCTCTCATGAAACAAGGCTGTTTAGTCACAAGACAGCTTGCTTTATTATGGCCTGCCAGAAAGATGGAAGTCATTATCTCAGAGGTGCTTGCAGTATTGTTTTACTGTATTTGTTATGATTGTAAATGTCCCTAAGGAGAGGATTGATAGAGGTTATGCATATCGTGAGACCGGGATCACTGAAGTCCATATTGGGAGGTCCCTAACAAGCCACAGCCACATTTGGTAACCAGGCTTCCGAGAGGGGTCATTTTCCTAAAGAGTCCACATGATAGTCTATCCTAATCATGAAAGTCACTTGTAGAATAAACCTACAACACATTAGATATGTGTATACATTCATATTTAGAGGTGTTTCATAGTACTTATGTCTGTGAGCGCGAACCGTGCAGTCTGGAGGCACACAATTTTTGCTCTGTCGGATGAAAAGAAGATGTGTGGGTTTTCCTCCAACAATGCTTTGTTGGAAAACAGGCACCCTGGAAAGGCGCCCTTGGATTCAGGTTCTCAGTCTGGTTTAAGTCACTAGCAGGTAACTTTGATTTGAAAAGAGTCAAGTCTTCTCCACCTTCCCTCCAACTGAAGCAGTTTCCGCCCTATACTAGTGTGAGCTGGATAGTTCCCAGACATGTTGTTAAGAATCTGGGTGACTTTGCAGGAAGAACAGATTGTCTTGGAGTTTCGGGTGTGAGTTAAGGATACCAGAGTCTGTTATATTTTTGTTCAGGAAGCAGGTGAATGGTACAGACGTTATTCTTAGGATTTCTGTGCTCAGAGACACTAGGTAAAGCATGGACGAGAGGGTATGGACATAGAAGTAACAATGTTTACCACTATCACCATTACCATGATTACAGGTCCCAAGGGAGATCACCACATGCCTCAACAAACATGAACAGCAGACACTGGTGTGTGATGGACAACAGTTAGGGAGCAGAGAGAAGGCATATGGACCAAAAGCATAGGGTTCTGGGTAGCTTAAAGGTTAATTAGCACTAGAGAGTTAAAACAGTGAAAGCAAGTCAGTCATTCAGTGGTTGAGTTTGCTTCCAGCTGCTTCTGCTCAGAATGGGGCCAGGAAGGGATGTCAGAGCTCCAAAGCATGAGCTACGACTGGACGGTTCCAGACATGTTTTTCTAACAGATTCTTGAGTGTAATGGCTGAGTGGTGGAGGCTTCGATTGTGCTGGAATCCCAATGCCTTTTTTCTGTTGCCTTTGTGATAAGGGACTGTCCTGGTCCTCTCAGTCCTGTCCTGACCTGACCCATCTTCCATCAGCCCCTGAACATCATCCTGCCCACTAGTTAATCGTTACTGGCATCCTCGTATCAGTGGGGATTAAAAAGATAGCTTCTGCCTTGAGAAGAGGCCAGAGTCCTTCCCCATCTTCTGTCTGGACACTTGGCATCCTGGGAAATGACCTCTAACTCTCTGCAAACCCCATGGTGTTTGTGCTCCTGAGGAGATGTGAAGCCATCTCTGAGCTCAGACCCTGCCTGGATCCACTGACTGGCCTCTAGCTGTCCATCATGGAGACCCTCTAAGATGGAGTTGGATTGCGCTTCTGGGAGCCTGTAGTTCTCCAACTTGGGGGTCAGGGATTCCTCAGGTGTGATATATTAAACTTCTTCAAGGGTTTTTTTTCCTACTTGTTGGTCATTCCTGACAACTACTGCCTGCTGTAACCATGAGAAATGTAACAACAGGGGAGAGTGGCCATTTCAGGTTTGGTCAGAATCCCTAGGTGAGGGCTTTAATGACACCAGAGATTTGGCAACCTTAGGGAATCCCCTCTCCCTTAGTTAAAAAATAGCCTAAGAAAAGGCTCCCTGGGGTCCTGCAGTATGCTGTGTGGTCAGGAATTCCTGCTTCCTGCCATTGCTTGGGGTTCCTGTTGCCTCTGGAAGTACTTATAGGGTATGTTCTGTCATAGCTGGAATTTCCTGAATTTGGCTGGCAGTTCATTTTTATAGCTTTGGCTCCTCAGTCAGTTTTAGAGTCCCTCCAGGCCCAGCCAGCTCTCCACTCAGCTGTGCCCTGGAGCTGGCCTTTGAAGAGACAGGATATGCTACTAGGATAAAAATGACAGTTCTTTAGTAACTGAGTTGCTATCTAGGACGCTCACTAAACAATTTCCTTCTTAATCTTGGGAGGTGAAGATAACCAGAAAAGGCAGTTTGCTTGCCCAGGGAGAGTCACTCTGGGTGGAATCAACCTTGCTCTGTTGAGCGTTCGGGGGTTTTTAGACTCAATGACACTGTGTTCTCCAAAGGCAAAGGATAAGCAGATGCTCCCTAGATGGGTATACGGAAATGGAATGCCTATGTGTAAGGAGCAGTAGCCTGTCAGCCGAGAAAAACGCCTGAGTTGTAGGCAGAGCTTTTGGAGAATGGGGGCTTGGTAGAGTCTGTCCCTGATCCCATTCAGATCTGACCCTGGTTATAAAGTTCCACTTTCCAAGCTGGTGTGTGCCTGCCATGGCCATACCAAATGGGCCAGCTCTTTTTTCCTGTAGTAGGTTTCTGGCTATCACCTTGTCACATGGGTTGTTGTTGTGTCTCCTCACACTTCCATTTGCTGTTGTGGGTGTGACTCATGCTTTGTTTTGGTTTTGGTCAAGCTGAGGTCTGGAAGTCAAACCTGTACCTTTTGCTTCCCCCCTTTTCCCCTGGAAGACTTCCTGTCCCCTTAGAGCTTACCTCATCCCCTGGCATCAGCTTCGGCCCTTCCTCTTGGGAGAGTTTCTTGGGGGTTTTGAGTGTGGGGTGGGGGAAGAGGTGACTTGCTACTGATAAAGCATGGGCTAACTTTAATAAGTAAAATAAAAGGCATATCAATTGGCTTTTCCTCCAGCTGTTCATCTTGCAGTTTTGAGTACGATTGTAAAATCCTCAGAGAAGCTCCTGCAGAGTGCAGGGGCTGGGCTGCTTATCTGTGGACAATGAGTGCAGGCTCTCATGTGCATGGGTTGTTTCAAAAGGGCCAGTAACATTCTTCTCTTTGTACAAGTGAAAAGTTTCTGTAAAGCTGTCTATGGCTGGAGATTTTAGAAAGCAGTCTGATCAGGCAAGGATCAGTTTCCTTCTAAACTGAAAATGTGTTTGGGGCTTCATCTAACACCTGTACCTCTACAGGAATATAAAGAGAGCAGATGCCAAACAAAGAAGGAAAAACAATTGTTTTCTATATTTGTCTTTTTTTGTAATATCACTGACAGGAAATTAATGATTTACAGTATAGGTTAGTAGTTGAAAGGAAATAACTTCTAGAATTCACAGTAGTCAGGAACACCCCAGAAGTACTCAGTACCTATGCTCAGATTAGATTAGATCTCTGTGCTGAACATTTGTCTCGTTAGCTCACATGTTCCTGGATTTGTTTTTATCTCAGCTGAGGTTACAATTACTGTGATGAAACACCTATCAAAAGGTACTTTCAGAGGAGTTTATTTCGCTCACAGTTCATGTAACAATATCATCAAAAGCAATGAGAACTGGACCTCATGCAGGGATGGAACCTGGAGGCAGGAGCTGATGCAGAGGCTGTGGACGGGCGCTGCTCACTGGCTTGCTCAGCCTGCTTTCTTATGGACCCCAGCATCACCAGCCCAGGGACGGCACCACCCCACTCACAAGGGGCTGGGGCCTCCCCCATTGATCACTAATTAAGAAAATACCCTATAGAGGCATTTTCTCTGTTGAGGCTCCCTCCTCTTTTATGTTTCTGACTTGAGTCAAGTTAACATAAAGCTGCCAGTGCATGTTTTTTGATTCGTTTGTTGTTATGCTTACTGTTTGACTTTAGAAAAAGTTGATAACTTATTAAGCCATATGCACTCTGACCATGTAGTCACACAGCTGTTTATGATGAAGTCATGGTCTTCCTTCCTTCCTTCCTTTCCTCACCTCTCTGTACCCGTCCCTGACCTCTGCAGATGTTGATGAATGTGCGGAAAACAGATGTCATGAGGCAGCTATCTGCTACAACACTCCCGGGTCCTTCTCCTGCCGTTGCCAGCCTGGGTATCATGGGGATGGGTTTCACTGCACCTCTGGTAAGTGATGAAGACCTGATTAAACTCAGGGATCTCCCAGCTCCTTCCCTCTTATTTTCCTTCCTGCCCAAGATGGAACCTGGTCTGAGGCCTGGATGGGGGACTTTCCAAGCTCTGGACTCTTCTCAGTAGACTCCTGATGTCCACTTGCTGCTAGTTGGTGTGTGAGCTTCCTGGAGTCTGTCATTAACCCTGTGGTGGCTCTGGTTCACCACCCAAGTGATCTGCTTTGCTGAGTAGTGTTTGGAAAAAACATTGAGGAGAACCTTATTCAGTGGGAGAGTCATGCACTAAGGAGCCAGAAGTCAGTACTCGTGGTGACTGCTTTCATGGAGCTTGGCTGACATACGGCAATGTGGCTGTTGACCTGGGCTTCTCAGACTTAGACTCTGGGTCCTAAAGAATGGATGGAGTTAGCTTGTCCTCCTCAAGGTTTCCCAGAATGCCGGGCAGTTTATTCTTCATTTTGCCCGGATGTCAGCTAGCCCCCACGGCTGAGAACAAACTGGGTTAGCTTACATTTATTTTCATACAGGGAAATGGAGGGAATTCGTAATAACTAGATAGTTAATAGCAAAGCCAAAATAAGAACTCAGGACTCTAAAATGTTAGTGTCTTACTGTTTTTCAGTGTCATGGTAACTTTCAATTGTATGGAAGAAACATTCAGTACAGAAGACTTTATGGGAAGCTGGTTAGTGTGGATGGTTTGCAGTACCTCTTATTTCTCCTTTATGTCTCCCTCAGACACGGTTCCTGGAGATTCCATCTCAGGACTGAAGCCCTGTGAATACCAGCAGCGCTATGCCCAGGCACAGCATGCCTACCCTGGGTCACGGATCCACATCCCCCAGTGTGATGACCAGGGAAACTTCGTGCCACTGCAGTGCCATGGGAGCACTGGCTTCTGCTGGTGTGTGGACCGAAATGGCCATGAAGTCCCTGGCACCCAGACTCCACCTGGCTCCACCCCACCCCATTGTGGACCACCTCCAGGTGAGCCTCCTGCCCCAAAAAAGTGCCTTGAATGATTTTGGCAGTGGGTGGTTTATAACCCAGCTCTGACTGCAGACATGGGTCTGACTGGCTACTATTTTTTCATAGGTTTTTTTTTTCTTCCAAAGAACACTTGGATGATATAGACACACCCATGTGCATGTTAATGTCATAGGGACATCTAGATACGTAGGTGACGTGCAGGATCCTTTATGCATTGGACTCCAGCTGTGTAGATCCTTGTTGAGTTGTGACTGAAAGCTGAGTGTCTGAGTCAGGCTGTGGCCAACTGTGAGAGGCTTGAAGCTAAAGAGTTTCCCCAGCAGAGCGTTTTATCTAAAAACAAGACTGCTCTCTAGGTAACCATGTAGAAAGCAGTCTGAGGGCCGTGCTAATGTTAGCGGGTATATTAGGTATGAAACTTGGAGTGGATCCTTTGAGCGTCCTTCAGTTCCAATGACCCCATCCCTTTCTAGGCAATCCAGTGTGGTCTTGGGAAGCCCTTCTTTCCACAGCTGCTTTATTTTTTTTTTGTTTGTTTGTTTGTTTTTGTTTTTTCGAGACAGGGTTTCTCTGTGTAGCCCTGGCTGTCCTGGAACTCACTCTGTAGATCAGGCTAGCCTCGAACTCTCGAACTCAGAAATCCGCCTGCCTCTGCCTCCCAAGTGCTGGGATTAAAGGCATGCGCCACCACCGCCCGGCCCACAGCTGCTTTCAAAGGGAGTACAGGAACCCATCCATCTGATCTGAGGTATTCGTGGCAAACATGGCCATTATCATCTGCCTTCTTCACGCCAAGGTCCTAGAGCCTGGTGGGCAGAGTCTCCCTGGCAGTGTGAGCAGCAGGTGGCTTCCACTGGGCAGCTTTCCAGCCTCCTGCTGAATTATTCAGAATTGGGCAACACATGCTGCTGCCTCAGCCCAAATACTTCCTGATCTGGGAGCTAGTATCCAAAGAGCCACTTTCTAAATTATAAAATAAAATAATTAAATTATAAAAAAACCACAAGCCACTAATGTCAGCTTTTAATGTGTGAGGGAAACTGAGCTGGACAATTTCCAGCAGTTTTGATTCTTTAACATTTGTAACTTTAGTGTTTCTAAGATTCATGGATATAAAAGTTTGGGGCATGGAACTGGGAAGAATTGGGAGAGGGAGGGTGAATATGATTAAGATAGAATGTACAAGATTCTCAAAAAAATAAAACTAAAGATTCACATAAGTAAACTCGTAATGGATTGCTCCACACTGATTTATGGGCCCTATGCTTCCCTTCCCCCCTCAACCCTCTCCCCTTCCTTTAATAGGTTGTTAGGGGAAAAGATTCTGCAGGCCTTAAAAAATAAGTTTCCTAGAGAAATCCTCATTTGGTAGTGGCTCCTCTCAAAAGCCTCAGATCTCTGTCAGAGGTTTGAGAGTCAGTGGTTCAATGGGGCCTGTGGAGCGATGCCTCAGCATTCTGTTAAGTTGATTAAAATAACACGTGCTAAGGAGAGTGACTCAGGCATCCTTTGTACAAACATCTCACAGCCAAGGTTTCTTCCCTGGCACTGCTTGGCCACGCCTGCCATCTCTGACTAGTCTCATTTGCATAACCAGGTCAGTTGGATGGAGGCTAGCATACTCTGTACTCAAGACTGTTTGAACCCTAAGCAATCAGAAGCAGGAACGAAGCAAGCCCATGATTGAATAACGTAGCTTAAAGCAGTAGGAGATGAGAAGGGTGCCTACCTGTGAGTGATCTGAGCCCCAGTTGACTTGCTATGTGTTTGCATCCATCCAGACACATACCCATGTTGGGTGGTCCCCAGAAATAGGAGTGGCTCTTGGGGGTGTTCAGTGTGGAATGGGCTGTTGGTGGTCTTCCCAGTATACCCCACTGTGAAGTGGATGGTGAGTATTTGAAGGGGTAGCAGTCCCCTCTCCTGTCCTAGAACACTTTAGGCTGAGCAGGACAGAGTCTTGCCTTTGTCTCCTTTGCTTCCTGTTTGGTCATGAGCTACAGGAGCTTGAGGGTCAGCCACTTCCTAAACCTGTGAGTCTTGATTGAACTTGCTGAGTTTGAGATTGGGGACTTTATTGGTATCTCCCCACCAGTCTCAGAGGACTGGTCCCTCCAGCCCAGTTGTGATGCCCCCAGCTTTGTTCTTTGAAGTGTCTGGAGGGTTTTGAGCAGAAGAATGGACTAAGATGCTCTGGGTTTTGAATGTGCCATTGTGGCTGTTGGTTGAGTGCACTGGTTTGGTGGAGTGAAGATACGGGAAAGTGGGAACAGTAAAGCCAGCCCAAAGGCTGTTACCATGGTCTCTGTGTAAGATTATGCCTTGAGTTTAGATGCCCCGTTGTAGCTGCTGGCTGAGTATACACTGGTTTGGTGAGGAAAGGTGGAAGGAAAAAAGCAAGCCAGAAGGCTGTTGCCATGATCCCAGTGTGAGAGGATTCCTGTAACCAGGATGACACATGGGAGAAGTGGTAAGACGTCAAGATGGTCTGTTGTTTTTGTTTGTTTGTTTGTTTGTTTGTTTGTTGTTGTTTGGTTTTGGTTTGTTTTGGTTTGTTTTTAAGACAAGGTCTCACTATGTAGCCCTAACTATCCTGGAACTCACTATGTAGACTAGGCTGGCCTTGAACTCACAGAGATGTACCTGCCTCTGCTTCTTGAGTGCTGGATTAAGGTCATGCACTACTATGTTCACCTCTAGTCAGAACGTTTTTGGAGGTAAAATTGATCAGACGTTTTTTGATCTGAGATGTGAGGAGTGAGAGAAAGGGGCACTGGGTGATTCATCTGGGCCATGGGAAACGTAGGTATGTGTAGTGGAACTAAAGACACGAGGAACAAGTCTGGGAGAAAGCAGAAGCCTGTACTTTTGTGCTGAGATTTCAGTTATGCATCCCGATGGTAGCAAGGGGATAAATTGGCTTCGTGATTCTGCAGAACTTAGGCTTTGAGTTTCAGTGATTAAAACAGAACCAGAAATACCTTTAGTTACGCTCTGTGGGCTATCCAGCCTCTGTGAGGAAGTGACTTCAGCAGCTGACCCTGGAGCCTTTGTAGATCCATCCTCATGTGTAGGGCAGAGCCTCGGTGGCCCTGGGGCAGCAGCCTAGTGGGGGGTGGGGGGGTGGGGAAGACTGGCATACATCAGAAGCCAGCAGGTCTTTCTTTAATCATGGTATGAACCAGAAGCCTGAGGCTCTAAGGAAGGAGGGCTAGGGATGTGCAGTCCTAGAGAAAACAGGACAGTATTGTGGCAGAAGACTAGAGCTTGGAGGAAAGGTTCAGCTTTGAGATAGTTCCAGCAATATGATGGCAGTGAATTCTGGAAACGGGACAGTCCAAGAAGCAGTTCCCCGTTGCTCAATGCTGCTTCCTCAATGCTGCCTCTGCTGTGCCATATACAGTGTCCTGCCACTCTTACAAGGATCCTTATAACTGGCCAGTGAAACCTACAGCTCAGCATGGTCTTCAGCTTTTTTCTAGGACACATAGGTCGGCCTGAAGATGGCTCTTTTAGCAAGAATTTGAGACAAGTGGGAAAGAGTTGCTTTAAAGTGTCACATGGGTCACTGAGTCTTCAGAGAGTCTGAACAGTGTTCTGTCATCAGAGGAGCCCTGGGCACATGACCAAATGTCCCCATGCATTTCTACTAGCCTATAAACTTGTCCTAGTGAGGTCTGTGGATGAGCCTGTCTCCTTGTTCTTGTCTGATGTGGCCAGGCCTCCATGGCAGGTCCTCCTGGCCTTGGGAGATAGAAGCATCAAGGAACATCAGGGTGATTTCTTTTCTGGGTTCCCACAGAGAACTTCTGAGAACACATGTGCTTCCTTGGCCCAGTGTCCAGGGTCATGGCTAAGGCTTTGTGACTGGACAGAGGAAAAGGAAGGCCAGGAGATGACGAGTTGGGACCTGGATCTGTACTGATCTTGATTGGCCACCCAAGATTTGTTTCCCCATCTTAGAGCCCACCCAGAGGCCTCGGACTGTCTGTGAGCGCTGGAGGGAAAGCCTGCTGGAACACTACGGGGGCACACCCAGGGACGACCAGTATGTGCCCCAGTGTGACGACCTGGGACACTTCATCCCCCTGCAGTGCCATGGGAAGAGCGATTTCTGTTGGTGTGTGGACAAGGATGGCAGAGAGCTACAGGGCACGCGCTCGCAGCCAGGCACCATGCCTGCATGTAAGCATGGGACGGCCCAGGCTCTTCTGTGTGTCATTGAGGGCTTTCTGTTGGGGTTTTCCTTCCTGGGGTGGGCAGTGTAGGGAAGAAAGAGCTACGAAGTCTGATGAGTAAAGTCACCTCATCAGTATGCTGAGTTGACTTATCATCAGGGTATCTCAGAATCCCAATCTGGATTTAACATTGGCTTTGCCACTAGTAGTCCCTGCTATAAGAATAGCTCATCTCAGGCCAGAGGGTGACTATTATGACCCCCAGCCCTGGGTGAAAGGGGAAAGTACCACCCTAGGGCCCCAGTGAACATTTGGCTGCCATACCACATCCTAAAACTCTGCACTTTGTTTGGAGGCTAGTTATGTTTATCTCCTGAGTAAATGGCAGAAATTTGAGTAGTTAATCTTCGGGGGGGGGGGCGCTTAAAAACCAGTAATTTATTTTTAAAAATCTGTTCCATGAAGAACTGGGCAGTTTTGGAGGTGATCATGTGCAAAAGTAACTTTCCTTCCTCTCTCCACCTTCCCACAAACAGGCCTACCCACTGTCGCTCCACCTGTGGTCCGCCCCACACCCCGGCCTGATGTGACTCCTCCGTCTGTGGGCACCTTCCTGCTCTATGCCCAGGGCCAGCAGATTGGCCACTTGCCCCTCAATGGCAGCAGGCTTCAGAAGGATGCAGCCAGGACCCTGCTGTCACTGCATGTAAACTGGGTTTCTCCAGGGGGGACTGGGCTCCACGAGAAGGGTGGGGCTTGGGATGAGGGTGAGCCTGCAGGCTAGGCTTGTGGACTTGTGGGTTTGTGGGCCTGGAGGACCTGTGCTTTGTGGTTTTCACAGGGAAGTGTAGTGCAGCGCAGGGAATCCTGGCAGGTTTCTGGGCTTCCGTCTGCTTTAGTGGGGCTCCGTTGTTGGAAATGATGTCTGACCCCTTCTATCTGCTATACCTTGAGGGTGTCATGGAAGTTCAGATAGCCAAAGAATTTCAGAGCTGTTGGCTATTTATGGGAAAGATCATTGTTACCTCAGGTTGCTGGGGGTTTTGTTCAGGCCACAGACATTTGGAAGTCAAAAAAACAAAACAAAGCTAGGAGGTGGTCATTTGAGATGGTAGAGTGGAAATCAGGACTGCTCGTCAGGCTGCCCCTTTCATTTTGATTATGCCACTTTGACTCACTTCTGTCCTAGCACTCTGCCTGGTCCATTGTACAGCTTTGGGGAATGTGTGCTGCCTATGCAGCCCTGGTCCCGCCCCTGGGTATGCTTATCTCTTGAGCTAGCAAGACACTTCCATGTGGAAGGAGGGATTTCTTCTCTGAAGTGGGGAAAAGAGAGACACCAGCTACCATGAAAGCTGGTCTGACCCTCTGTCTTCAATGTACACTGAGCAGACTTTTCCTACATGGCAGAGTTCTCTCTATTTACTTCTGTTAATGAACTACTGCTCCCAAGCAAGCTTCAAAGCAACCAGTGTATGATGAAAAGATGGTCTTTTTCTTCAAGATTCTAGGCTCCATCCCCAATACCACTTTATAAGAGCATATTGCTTGATAAGTTTCCCCATGCTAACCATCTTGTGTGCTAGCCACACCAGATGGTTTGAGTACATTTCCAAACATGTCTAGTGGGCAGGGAGGAGATGGTTATAGTGGAACTGAAGGAGAAGGGGGAATTACAAGCGCTCTTTGGGGCAATTTACCTAAAATGTGACCTTCATACCAAGAAGCTTGGTTTATGAATCCTGTGATTCCCTGGGCTCATTGCCACCTGTATGAATGTGTGCCCTTGCCTCAGATGGAGGGCCTTTTAAGTTTAATTTTCAAATAAAAGCACTATTGACCTTAGGTGCCCCTATAAATGCTAGCATTTGTACAGGAGCCACATTCTTCACACAGTGTCTCCTGGTGACTACTTTGGGCCAAGCCCCAGGAGGCTTTCCTAGGCAAGGACTGGTGTGGCCTGTGTTGAATTCCGTGTCTGCTGGGCATTTTCACAGCAAGAAACTGGGTTAGAAATGGAAAGAAGCAAGCCCTGTGTGGATCTCAAGCAGGAACATCACAGATTCAGGGTTTTGAATAAGACTGTCATTCATCAGGAAGGAAAAGGAGAAACCGTGCCAGCTAAAGGCTGGTGACCACAGTCCTCCCAAATTGTTAAATTACAGGCTCTCTTGTATGACCCACAACTGAATGCTTATATTAAGAGGCAGAGGCCATTACACCTTGGGTTGGGGAGGATTCCAGTCTATTCACCCAGTAGGGAAAATTTTACTGGCACGTGTTGTCAGATTTTAGAAAGGCTCTTTGAGAATGTCCCAGTAACACTTGGAAGCGTTCATCTTTTGCACCCTTAAATGTTAAGGGCTTACTTAGTGGGATGCTCCTCTCATCTGTGAAAAGGCTGATTTTTCTCATGAAACGACCGTGTTCACAGCCAGCTAATAGTACTGGAGGAGCTTACTGTCTAGAGATTGCCAGTGGGGCTCTTTATAAACGTTTTACTGATTGCCATCTTGGAGAAAATGAAAGCATAGAGGTTAAATGGCTGAGCTTGGCTCTGACCTGAGGGAGGAGTCTCTTCCTGTCCACTGCCTCGAACCACCACAGCACAGGCTGCTCACAGTAATGCCGTGTAGCCATGAACCTAGGGTTGGGGATTCAAGGAATCCTAATCCTTCTGATGTCACCATTGGTCCTCAAAGGGCTCCATAGTTGTGGGGATTGACTATGATTGCCGGGAGAGAATGGTCTACTGGACAGACGTTGCAGGTCGGACCATCAGCCGTGCCAGCTTGGAGGCAGGAGCCGAACCCGAGACCATCATTACCTCAGGTCAGCAGCTTCTTCCCATGGATACTTGGTGGTACCTTTTGTTTTACTACCATTGGCCTGTTTTGTCCTGGTTTCTCCTGTTCTCATCTAAAGGAAAGGTTAAATTCTGTGCAAATTATTTTTAACCTTTACAAGCCTTGTCCCTTTGCAAACAAGTGCATTTATACGTGACAAACAGAAGGGTGACTTTAGGATGACATGGACTGCCCTCAAAGGAGTGGTTTGAAGTAAGACTGCAGGGTCTGACAGTTTATATCGCCTGTCCTTAGCACCATGGATGCCAGGTGCAATCAGGGCAGCAAGGTCCAGCACAGAAAAGACTGGATATGGTTAAAAAGGCAGTAGAAGATCTAGTCCTCTTAGCCTTGTTCTGGGGATTAAGGCTTTTATGCTTGCTTCTGTAAGCTGTTCAGCAGATGTGGAACTTGAATTCACCTTTTACACTGACCAATGCTCCTGTCACCTTTATTTCTAGGTTTGATAAGCCCCGAAGGACTTGCCATTGACCACTACCGTAGAACAATGTACTGGACAGATAGTGGCCTGGATAAGATAGAGCGGGCCGGACTGGATGGTTCCGAGCGTAAGGTCCTCTTCCACACAGATCTGGTGAATCCACGAGCCATCACTGTGGATCCAATCCGAGGGTTAGCTGGCTTGCTTTGTTCTCTCATTTCACTTGTAGATCTGTCTTGAAGCCCCTGGCTCTTATGTCTGGCATGGGAAGGTCTAAGTAGACCAGAATAAAAACTCAAATATAGTAATTCACCAGATAATGTCGACACGCTGTGGGTGTCAGGCACTCTTGTAGGCAAAATTAGGGTCTTTTTTTTTTGGAGCTTGCATTGTGTGTGGCAGGAAGTAAGATGGCATTCAGTAAGAATGTTAGTTAGCTTGGTATGTGATGTGGCACCCCAAGAATCCAGGCCCCATCACGGGAGGATCCAGTGGCTGCCTGAATCAGATGATCATTAGGTAGGACCTTGGGAATTGATGGGTATACAGGAGGGAGTAGTTTCCTTCAGCAGTACCTTGAGAAAGCCTTGTTAAAAACATAGCAGGGTTTTGGTTTGGTTGGTCTTTTGTTTATTTTCTGGATGGAGACTGTACGAAGTCCAGATAAAAATGTTCTCTGTGACAACTGCCAAGGTCGGCAACTGGGGTGTCCAGGCCAGGGTCACGGGTCCCCAGGATTATTGGGATGCAGCTTCCACAAACACTGTTATAGAAGGTTCTTCCTGAAGGTGGAACTTCCTGAAGTTCTACACATGAAGGTTCCTCAGGGACTGAACAATGGCGCCTTGTTCAGTCATTATGCTCCAAGATCTAGAGTCTAGAGGACAGTGTCACACCAGTGCGCATGCATGTAACATGAGCTCTCACAACCTCTCAGAGGGTTAGCTACTCACCTCTGAGGGTACTGCTCACTGTGTGGATCTCAGCCTGCCACAAAGTGGAAACTGCTCTCTGGCTCTTACTGCTGCCCACAAGGAGTGACATCCACAGCAGAGGAAACTGTTTCTCTCCCTTTGCTGGGGTTCTCTGTGGTTCAACAAACATATATCTATAGCTTTCATGGAAGTCTCACTGTTTCTGCTCTGTAACCCTGTTTGCATATGTATAACTTATATCCAATTAATGAGATCCTGCTTTCTGAGTATTAAGGGTTTCTGGGCAACTGCATCAGGTGTGTGAGAGGCAGGAATCTAGACAGTTAATAGACAATGACTTCCCACACAGTTAGGATTGTCAGAAAACCCTGGCAGCCCAAGACAACATTATTACTGTGAGTGAGGTAATGTCAAAAAAGGGCAACCAAGGTACTGGTCAGGTAAGACCAGTATGAGCCAGACTTTCTGAGAAAGAAGGTCCCTTTCCAAGCTCTCCTGTGGACTGCTGGCAGGCCTCAGGCTATTGTTGGCCATTGGGCAAGAGGTAGCTTGCTGTATAAAATCCAGCCTCCCCTGGGGAGCAAGAAAAGGGACTGGACAGAAACCAGTTTTAAAAAAAAACTAATAGTGAAAGTGATTTTATGACTTCTACCATACCGTTCACCAGGAGCAAGACACCAAACTCAGCCAGATTCAAGGAAGTTGAGGCTGTGAATACTGGGAGTTGGCCATCAGTGGTGGCCAGTGTGGCTGCTGCATAGCGGTCCTTTTAGGGTGCGTGTGTGTGAGGGGGTGATGCTGGAGGTGTGAGGGGGAGATGCTGGAGGCAGTGACGGTAAACAAGAGCCCTACTATTGTTCACAACAGTCTTAAAATTGATCCACAGCAACTTGTACTGGACAGACTGGAATCGAGAAGCTCCTAAAATTGAAACATCATCTTTAGATGGCGAAAACAGAAGAATTCTGATCAACAAAGATATTGGATTACCCAATGGATTAACCTTTGACCCCTTCTCCAAACTGCTCTGCTGGGCAGATGCAGGTAATACTGGTGATGTGGAGAAAGATAAGCCTCCCTTACAGCAAGCATTGTGAGCACCAAGGGATGTCACTACAAATCAAGTCGTGCATCTTTTAGATCTTTTGGTTTAAATTTCTGTCAGCACAGAACATATCAGATCTGTAAACTTTAAAAGAACATTTTACAGTGATTTTTACAGTAAATTTTCTGGGGCTCAGGGAGGAGGCTGGACTGTGTAGCATGTCTGTCCTGACCCCTGACCCCACTGAACACCTGGAAACTTTTAAGTTTGAAGTATTGGCTGCTGTGGACACTTGGATGCACTGAGGTTAGTCTCTTTTTCTGGGCCATTATTATGGTTTAACCATGTAAGACTTTTATCACTTGGTGTGCTGTGCTCCTTTGACAAATGCTGTGAGAGGATGTCCTCCTTCAGGAATGCATTTGGTTAACACCAGGGTTATCTATTCTGTGGTGTGCTTATTACCAAAAAACCTTAAAGACACTGTGTGTCTATTTCAGTCTTGAAAGTTCTCAAATTTACAAAATATGTAGCTGAGCATTTTTACAATCCAATTGTCTGAATATTACATTTTTAAAAGGTATCTCAAATTTAGACTTCTTCATAAGAAATATGGAACTTGAAAATTCTTGAATTCTTTGTTTTTCAAAAATTCAAACTATTACCATAGAAAAATAACCACTATTTTCCTTTTTTCTTATACCTAAAATTTATAAGTAAATATTTTGACCAATCTGGATGTTTTCAACTTAACAAATTTAGACTTAAAATTATAAAAATCCTTATCTTTAATGCCCCCTTTGGAAAGACACTGCTGGATTTCAATATATTAGATTCTCCCACAAAAAGATTGAAGTTTGAACCTTAGAACTAGAGCAGGATTTACAACTGGTAATGTGGACTACAGTGGGTGTAAAATGCCCCATGTCTAAATTCTGCCTCTGTTCCCTTGAGAAGGTCTCTGGCACCTCATTTTTAGCAGTGGTTTACTTGGGGCATGAAGGGAACTCATTTTCCCTTTTGGATGTCTTAAAAGGAACCAAAAAACTGGAGTGTACACTACCTGATGGAACTGGGCGGCGTGTCATCCAAAACCATCTCAGTTACCCCTTCAGCATCATCAGCTATGCAGACCACTTCTACCACACGGACTGGCGGAGGTGAGCACTCCGCAGCAGCCTAGAAGGGCAGCGGGTTCTGGAGAGCACACTGTGTTTTGACGGTCAGCAGCTTTGGTTGGAAGCCCTGTTGGACTTTGTCTGTTAGTAGACGCCAGTTTTGCAGTGTATGACTTGAAATCATCCCTGCATTTCACTCCCAAGTTTAATGGTGTTTCTTGCAGGCAGCGTGAAATTGAAGATATTTAGTAATAAACTACTTAATAAGAAGCTTTTAAATATGTTCTTAGAGAATGAGTAGTTTTAAGTGGTACAAAGCTTTAAGCTATTTTCCTTTTTAAAAATAACATCACTAAGCAGGTCATGAGTGGTGCCTACCTTTAATGCTAGCACTAGAAAGGCAGAGACAGGGGACTCTCTTGAGTTTGAGGTGTGCCTGGTCTACACAGCCAAGACTATACAGAGGAATCCTGTCTTGAAAAACATAATAATAGTAATATCAATAATAATAATCAACTGTCTACCTTAAAAACTGAAAAATGATATTTGGTTCCTGCTAAGAACACTTCAAAACAGAACACAGGTGCATGTATGAATCCTTTTCCCCTTCCTACAGTGTTCACAAGACAGACCTTGAATAGACCCCATGGTGGGCCTGGCTAGGATTGGGAACTGATTTAACCACTAGCTTCTATGGCCACAGAACATTAAATACATTATGTGTGCTGTTCCCGGAGAGGGAACATTAGTTTGCACTTCCTGGAAGTTCCTAGGTGATATTGGTGGAGGGGCTACATCCAGAATCACTGGTAGAGACACATTGAGTCAAAACTCATTTAACTGAATTGCTTTTTAATGCATTATGGAAAACTGCCCAATTGTTATCTACTGAAACTTTATCTTGTGACTGACTACCTATGAATCCCTCTTCCTTCTTTTACTAGGGATGGTGTTATATCAGTGAATAAAGACAGTGGCCAGATTACTGATGAATATCTCCCGGAGCAACGGTCTCACCTCTATGGGATCACTGCAGTCTACCCCTACTGTCCAACAGGTGAGTCCATCAAAGTACATCACCATGCTTCCTTGGACCAGTGGGTAGAGGGCTGTGGTAACTGTCAGCACTGCCTTCCTTAACTAATGAAATGTTCACTGCTGTCCACTCCCCTCACAGGAAGAAAATGAACATTAAGTATTAAATGTATAGGAGGATTTCAAGTTTACAAGAATCTTGACCTAAGAACATTTGCTACGAAGGCAAAGACAGTGAAAAGAATTGGCCATCATGAGTTCTTGGCACACAAAATGAGCATTTTCAGTGCAGCGAGACTCAAGTATATTTTGTGAAATGTATACCTCAATCTTTACTACTGTATTTTTAAAAACAAAGGTTATCACAAGTTTAAAATAGAATTTTAATCATTGCTTATTAAATCAACTTTTGTAAACAGTTATTTAAAAGGCCAAATTCACTCAACAAAGAACCAACTAGAGCAAAGACACTAAATCTGATTTTTATCTGCCATGGAGTCTACCTGGCCAAGAAAAGTGAAGAGAACAAATGGTTCCTACAGCCCGCTGAGACCCCTGTGACAGACAGACCACGGGGTTGACCCAGCCTATTTATACTGCTCGGTGAAGTCCTCAGACTTTATTTATACTAAAGGTGCTAGAAAGATTCCCCAAAGTGCCTCTACAGAAGCATCCCTCAAAAGTATTCTGTGTTAAACACCAAAGATGCAGCAGTTCTTAAATTTTCTATATAACTCCAATAAAATATTTTAAAGCTTTCTCTTGGTCTAAAATATATTGTTTCCAGGACAAAGGGTTGGGGTGAGTCTCTAACCATAAAGGACACACAATAATTATAGAAACAATACACTAATTCAAAACAAAAGAGAACAAAACAGCCTTTTACTTCCCCAACTTTATTAAAGAAAAAAGCAGTGGTGGTAAATCTCTAGAACATGGTCAATCTCCCGGAATTCTCCCTTGAAAGTGTGACATCTGATTTCACAGCACACACCGGTGTAACGGTTCCCATCACTAAGCAGGTGAGAAGCTGACATCCTCATGTGCTCATCTTCCAACTTTCCCCAGTCTGTGGTCTGTCTTTGGATCAGCAATGATGGCCTGAACGGCTACTATGGCTTCATTAATTTTTGTCTGTAGCTCTCTGAGCTCTTCTATGTGCAGCAACCGCAGGATTTGAGCAGCTTCATTAAGAACTGCATCTGTCACAAGACAAGAACATTGCATCTGTGTGTATGGATTCTGTGCTTCCAGCAACCCACTTACACCTCAGTACAGCAAGTCCCTCAAAATAGCTTGACTTCGACAAAATAACTTACCGCCTGTGTCAAAGCCAAGAATATGTTTGTCTAAAGCAACAGGTAAGCCCTTTAAAACAAAACAAAACAAGACTATTTAGTTAAAGGGTCACTTTTCTCACTTGAAACTAAAGACCAGCTGGCTATTTGGTTTAGGGACTATTACAATTTACAATGAGCTAGCTTTCCAGCCACCCAGGAAAGAGTTCTCTTCAAATGTACCAGAGACATCAAAGCCCATCCAACCTTTTAAACCAGGACCATAGAGACTTTATTGCAAAAGCGCTTAATGTGGCTAAGGAAGGAGCGCTGGCGGCTAAGCAAGTGCTGTGCAAATCAGATTAAAAGTGACACTACAAAGTATACAATGTATTTGAACCAGAATTTTTTCAGCCAGCTGTTTACCAGATTATCTTTATGCATGTTAATGTTTTATTATAGAAGTTACTTTTAGTTAGGGCTGATCACTCTTCACAATTACCACCTAATACAAAAAGGAGGCCAGGAAGTCTGGGCTTTCTGCTGAAATTAGCAGTAATTAACCACTGCTAAATTCTTGCCTAATTTACTAACATGCTCCACCTAGGCTCGCTCTCACAGGGCTAATAACTTAGATAAATGGAAATTCAGAGAACTAAGTGAAGAATAGACCTGTAGTTGAGTGGCTGTATCTGTCATCTGGCACCACAGACCACCAAGGAACAGCTATCCCTGAGACCCACAGTATCCCTCAGACAGGAATGGCTACAAAGAATAGTACTCTGAAGTTACAAACTGCAGCAATGAAAAGCTAGATTCTACTTTGCAAACAGAAGCAGAGAGCTCTGGTTTAGCACTGTTCAGCATTGCCTCCAAACCAAAGACATCATTTTGGTGAATGAATGACTATTATGCCAGAACAATTTGCTTCTTGTTCTGCAGTGTGGGTGAAATAAGCTGATCTTTGATCCAATTTCCAGTGGCCAATTCATACACAATTAAGCTAGTAAGAAACCTTATAGAAAGCAGAGTGTGTTCCAGAGGTGCCTACACTTGCATCAGCAGCCCTTCATTACTACTGGACTTACTAAAGGGGTCAGAGGACAAAGGGCATTGGAGGACTTGAGGGAGAGGGAAGAAAAGGAGGCGCCAGGGTCCTCAGAATGCTGGCTATGCCCAAAGCAAGCCACTTCAACATCTGTGTAGTAAGGAGACTACTACTGACAACCGCAGCTGCTCCTGCTGTTCCTCCTTACCCAAGAACACTCTCAGCACTGTGGCACTGGGGCGATTTAATTTTTCCTTTATTCCTTTTTTTTTTTTTTTTTTTTTTTTACCCTCAGAGTCCAGGCTAGCTTTGAAATCCTGCCTCCTGGTACTAGGATTAAATGTTTGTATCTCCACACCTGGCATTTTCAGGGCTATCTGTATTGATGGCATGGTTAAAATTAAAAGTATTCCAGGAGTATTCTTCAAGGGGAGGTGGCCATGACATACTGAGCAAAAGGAGATAAATTACAAAGAATCACAAGTGTGAATATGAGATCTAGATTTAACATGAAAGAAGTAAGCGTGTGCTGCCTTTTTCTACCATGCATCCAATAAGCCAACACATTTCACAAGGCTCAAGGCCTTGGCACTTGCCTCAGTCTACAGACTGAATGGACTAGTAGATTCTCTAAAATGTGAAATGTGGTCAGACATGAAATTCATTGTTCACCCATTTGTCTGAACTTCAGTTTTTCAATGCACTGAGTTTACTTAAGAATCAAATTCAATTCACACATAAGTCAGCTATCCTTTCTTCTTTGTTCCAACAGAATGGGCTTCTTTTGTGTGTGTGTTGGGGGGAGGGGGAATGCAGGGTTCTCTACGTAGTCCTGGCTGTCCTGAAACTCACTATGTATACCAGCTGGCCTCAAACTCAAGAGATCTGCCTGGCTCTGACCCTAGAGTGCTGGGATTAAAAGTGTGTGCCACCATATCCAGTCCAGATTGTATAAATAACAAGTTTAAGTGCATGCAATACCAGAAGGAATGTCCATTAAATTAGCTTAGAATCACACGTACCTCTTTTGTTTGATTTGCTTTAGCAACTGCGTCCTGTGTTAGACGTTCCTGAACCAAAATTCGAATTGCCTAAGAAATCCAATAAAGACCAAGCTTACTATTTTGCCAGATCATTAATACACAAATGTCCATCCCTGCCCCTGGGAATGGACCCACGCTCTAGTGCACACAAAGCAAGCACTACACCACTGAACTGCATCAGCCCTTAACATGCTAACTTTGGTGCCTGGCAAACCTAAGATACTATGTATCTAGACCTAGGACTTTACAAAGCTTCTTGATATAGCTACTGTATGTGTAAGGTTCTCCTTCTGGATTTCAAAGTTTGGTAAAAATATCCCCAAAGATCCTGCATTATCTGTTTCTCCTCTTTCTTAGTTTATGATGAAACTGACGTGGGACTGTCCCTAGGAAATATTTGCATACTAGATTGAGCAAAACATAAAACTTTGAAACAGCTGAACTTCACTAACAACAACCTGATGTCTTTCGCATCCAAGCTGGGTGAGAAAAATCCATCTGGTTTCAACATGAATATTCTACTAAGTTAAGAACACTACTTTTGTTGTTAAAATTATCCACATAACCCATACAATTCTAATAAGAAGGTTAAATTATAGCCCTTCTGAATAGAGGGGAGTTTATTCAATTTATTATGAAGCAGTTTATAGTAAGCTTCACTCTCGACCTGCAAAGCCATTCCTTACCAGTCTCCAAGGCTGCTTACTGTCTGCATCCTCCTGCCCCACCCCACTGCACATTCACAGCACAAAGTTTATGAAATGTTTTCCTTTCTCAAAATTAAGAAGTTCTTTCAAACAGCTGTGTTCCTTGATGTAGAGGTATAAACTGCATGGTTTATCTAGAAAGGAAAGATACTGAAGACGAGAGCATTTGTTTGCTAAAGAGGTTTTGTTGTGTGGCTAAATTCACCATTAGTGGTTTGGCATTTCCCTCTTCCTTAACAGACTGAACTCTCAACAGACTGAGCAGAGTTGGCTTGGATGTTCGTGATCTTCTACATCTGTTTCCTAATAAAGCTTTTTCTGTGGGTGTGAGGTGTGTACAAGGTCATGCAAAGCTGTGCGTATGGGTGTGTATGCACATGGATGTGAAGACACATGGGTGTGTACGCAAGGGGTGTGGAGATTAAAGGTTGGCACTGGGTGTCTACCCAGCTGCTCTCTACCTTTTCTCAAATTAGCCCTTCTCTGCAGAATTAGGCATTTGTCAAAAATAAAACGAGGACAGTGAGGAGTATGATGTGGCTCACGCTGACTTGGCTAGGCTGGCCGGCCAGCATGCCCAGGGATCCAGGTGCCTGCCCTACCAGCACTGGGGTTAGAATTGTCACTATGTTTGGTTTTTATGTGGGTGTTCAGTTCCAAACCCAGGTCCTTAGGCTTAACCCTTTACCAGCTGAGCCAGCTCCCTAGGCCTCAGTTTTGTTGGTTTTAGTATTTCTCAGCATGATCATTAATAGGATTGAGTGAAATTTTATCTCTGCAAAGACAAAACACACTGGCGTATACACAGTTAACGTTCAGATACCAGCTTACTGCTGGATAATGTGAAACATAAAATAACGATGTGTTTGCTCTAGGTCCCACATTCTTCTCAATTTCTACTCATCAGCCCATTATAAACTTAAGTAAAAACAGCTAGCATATAGCTTACAGAAAAGTGACGCTTTTGCTACATGTGCAGTTTCTGTCAAGAATAAAAATGGGCAGCTTACCTTAAGCATTACCAAGTAGTCATCATGACGCTGAATCTGAAGGAGGTTAGCCAGAGCCATGACACCAGCCTTAAAATCAGGGTTATTTACTATAAAAGATTAAAAGTGAGTAAGCAAAAACCAGCTCTACAAACAGCTTAGTTGCTTATCTCAACATACGAGCTTACAGAAGTAGAAACTGTCTAGCACTGACTCATCTTTGGTCTGCTGCTGCATTTGAAGAAAGACATAAAGCAAGAACAGCATTTCTACAGTCAGGAGAAAGCCTCCTTACTAATCGTACCAGCCACACTGAGGGACTTCATAAACGACTAACTTAACTCACAGTAAGTTTGCCCTGGAGCAGTCTGAAAGGCCAACGTACGGACACTTTTTAATTGTTTAATGTTTCTTCCCAAAACTATTAATTTTAGTACAGATGCATTCGATGGGTAGTTTTCCCAGCGCTTTCCTGTGCACAGTAACTCTGGAGTATGCAAGCTCATTCCCTCGTAAGAACAGCTTACTGCAGGTCACAGTGAATCCTTCGGGAAAGCTTGTTTAACACACTAGGCTCTAGGTAATTTCCTAATCTTCAGGCTTTAGGAGGAAATTGCTAAAAGGGCATGAGGGACTTGTAATAATGAAACATTTTACCATTTGTAACTAGATTAAAAAAAATAAATCACACTGCCAGGAAGGTGACCAATGAGTGTCACAATGAACAAAAAATCAAAATCCAAATTACCTGAAGCAAAAACCCACCAGTGCTTTTTAACATTCAAATATTCTGTGTTGAGGGGATGGGGGAGAGAAGGAAAGTCCACTGCAACTGACAGTCTCAAACAGGAGAAGCTGCTATGCACGCATGCCAGGCATGCACTAGGTCATACAGCCTGCCTTCTACAAGTGAAAAGCAGTTACAAGACAAGGCTGCCCTGTGTGCACCACACACTCACCGTCCAAGTTGATCAATGGCTCTGCATTTTTAGCTGCGTTGTCAGTATTTTTCTTGTTATCAGGTACTAAATCCTTGTATTTTTCCGCTATAAAAAACAAGCAACAAGGTAAAATAACTGCAACTTAAAATTAAGATGAATATTGCTTATTTACTGAATTTAGTCAGATTATGGCATCCACTTAAAATTATACTTCACTACACAAAAACTTCAAAAAAAGATAATGCAACTTTTTGATTAAGCTGAAATCCTTACTGGAACACTTGACGCAAGGTTCTTCTCAGTCATGTATCTGGGATAAGGTTTGATGTACCAAAGGCTAGCCCTGACCTTTGACCCTCCTCCTCCTGTACTTCCCAACTGCTTGGATTACAGGGGTAAACTTCTATAAAATAATTCAACATCTAAAGATTAGGAAATAAATTCTTTTAGACTTTTCTCTTAAATTTGGGACTGAAGAACAGGTGCAAAGAGTAGGCACATGGCAGATGGAGGGACAACAGGACACAAGTATGGGCAACCTAGGAATTAAACAGAAGCAGGGCATGGTGGCAATGCATCCCTAATCCAGTTATAGAAGCCAAGCAAGAGGATCACAAGTCTCAGGCCTGCCTAAGCCACAAATCAAATCCAGGGACAATGGACAACTTGCCAAAAACCTCTCAAGTTTTAAAAATAAAAACAAAAAAAGAGAAGTTTAAAAAAGAGTAGACACTAAAAAGTTCTCTTAAATCTTTTCAATATGTAAAATACCACCTTCAATACAAAAGTCAAAATACTTTAAAATGTATCATACACAGATTTAAAATGTCATGGAAATTAAAAATTTTGAAGGTATGTTGTTTTCACTTGAAAAATATTTTTTTTTTTTTTTTTTTTTTTGGTTTTTCGAGACAGGGTTTCTCTGTATAGTCCTGGCTGTCCTGGAACTCACCCTGTAGACCAGGCTAGCCTCGAACTCAGAAATCCGCCTGCTTCTGCCTCCCAAGTGCTAGGATTAAAGGCGTGCGCCACCACCGCCCGGCACTTGAAAAATATTTTAAAAGAAGTGATGAATAAACTTGTGCCAAAAATGGCTTCTCAGATCTTGGTATAACAAAGTTCTTTGTACTGTTATAATTTTTCTATCAACTTAAACTTTTTAAAAGTAGTGAAATTTAAATAGGATTTTAATAACATTAATTGGCATATGAATAAAAGTTTTCTTAAGTAATGGAAGAGCACACAAAAATTCTCAATGATTTCAACAAATTTAAGTTGTTTAATAGCAAGAACACCAGCGCCTCCTGCAGGTTAAAGCCAGCAATGCTGCCTTAATCAGCTCAGTGCCTCTGCTCCTGCAATGCTGAAATTGAAGATTAAACAAAGCATGCTCCCCAGTTGAGATTTGTAATACACCTTTTATACTATTTATCTTTCAACTTTTCCCAATATAAAAATCCCCATTTAATATACAAGCTTTTATTAAAACCACACTATTTGAGAAATGAATGCATATGCTAATGAATGCATTGTGCTGGGATATACAGCACAATGTAATGAGAAAAGACACGAGCAGCTGCAGATTAGCCTTGATAAGGTCCAGGATCCCAGGATACTCTGTTGCAAATAACCTCCCACACTAGAGCAGAAAACAGAAAGAACCCTGCTAAAGGCCCCAAACATCAGCAAGGCTGAGGTCACAAGGCTTGCAGTCCCATACATTACATCACGGAAAGAAGCCACAGGGCTGCTTGCTTTGTTCCTTCAAACAAAACTGAAAGGTGTTTTTATGAAAATGGGAAAGTGACAATGCTTTAGATTAGAAGACACAACTGGAGCTGGTCTTTAGAAAGAAGCTTCATCCTAAAACACATGTCAGAAAGTTAGCCAGAGGACATGCAGCTGACAACAGGAGGTGGAACCACCTGATGCTAGAAGGTGACAGGAGCTGAAGCAGAGCAGCAGCAGGAGGAACAGAGGTGACACAAGAGACAGAGACTAATGGAAACAGGATGGGAGTGGCAGAGAAGCTACACGTATCAGACAGGTTTCAAGAGCATACATCTAGGACCTGAAAGTGACAGCTCCTGAAGGAAAAACATGAACCCAAGAATGGAAGTGAAGCAAGATGCTCAGCCTAAAGCTGAGGTGTCTCATGAAAGGAAGCAGTGTAATGAGCCACCTTTTCCATTGGCACCAAATTCAAAAGCTTCAGTTAATAGAAGAATGTCAATAGCTAAGGAAGATTAAACATAATACATACATGTAGGCCTATGCTGTCTTAATGTGCACTGGCATTAGCACACCAGTATGTTTCTATTTCCTGTGAAACAGCTGCTGCAAATACTCCAAACCCCACAGGCTCTGAGGCTAGCAGCAGCTTCAGTGGCTTAGTTGCAGACTGTGGAAGCTGGCAATTAACCAAGTAATGTTCTTTTGTTAAGGTATTCTATTAACCTTTTTCAGAAAACAACTTCCAAATTCTAAGAGAAAAATGTAAACATCAAAGACAAAATAAAGTATGTTCCACTTTGCACAAAACATACCATTATCTCCATATTCAAGTCTAACAGCTAAACCAAGAAGCCAGTCAATCGCTTCTTGCCGATCCTGAATCTTGAAAGGACAGTTAACATCTCTGAGATACTGTGAAGGGAAGGAGAAGAAAAAAAAAACTACTTCATTATCACATAGTCACAGAACACAGAACAGCAGACTGATAGAGGCCTTAGTTTAGAGCTTTGAGAATTTCTTCCAGGCTGGCCTTGAGTCCCAGATATCCAGGACTGGCCTGGAACTCCTGATTCTCTCACCTCCACCTTCCCAGTGCTAGGATTTCAGGGTGCACCACCATATCTATCATTATTAAACCTTTGGTGTAACTATACAGGTCAGAAGAAAATGCTTAAAAGTACCATTTTAAGGAAAACAATGAAATATTCCCTTTTAAAAAATGTTTGTACTTGGAGATACCAGGTAGGTCAACAGGATACAAGAATAATCTCATTTAAACAAGGAAACTGCAGGCTAGAAAAAAATCTGATACTCAACACTGGCTATACCACTTAGATCTGGGACCAGAACCTTAGCTTTAATTCTAGGTCCCAGTACACAGGGCAATTAGATAAAAAGTGCAACTTTTAAATGATTGGCAATTCAATCAATTATTGGAACTTTACCATTCATATCCAAATGTCATACACAAATGCTTAACAGAACAAGCCATGGAACATGTGTGTGGGCTAGAGTCAAGTCCTTTAGGCAAATGAGCTGATCCTTCAGTCTCTCAGGAGCTGAAAGTTGATCCTAGCAACAAAGCTTTCAGTGAACACTTCAAGGACAAATTATAAACTAATACGTTTTAGTCAAAATTCATTTTCTAACCAAAAATTCTATTCCTTTAATAAAACAAACAAGACTCGTTCATAACATTTGGCCACGATCAAAAAACACTTGTGAGCATCTTAAAGATAGCAATCAACAACTTATGTTAAGTACCAAGTAGATGCTTCCAAAGATACCTTAAACATTTCTGGTAGTATTTGGGTGACTTGCAATTTATGTTTATTTTACTATTCGTCTGGATCTTTGAAACAAGCAACTGTCTCTAATCTGCACACTTTTTCATTTGCACCTTTTATTTGGAGGAATGGCTGCAGAGGCCAAGTGAGCCAACAGAAAACACTAGTACTGTATGTTAAGACCTTTAAAAGCCCACTGAAAACTGAAAAAAGTTTAAGGGTAAATAAAGATAAACCACTTGCAGTGGCAAGAAGCACATAGGCCTTGGTATGGGTAAACATTTATGGGAACAGGCCTATCAGGTAAATGGCCCATGAACAAGAACGCAGAGACAGACAGCTGCCACTGTCATTCCCATTCGCCGATGACACTGTAATGACATAATGCGGTTTTTATGGAGTTTGGAAACAATTCTTCAAAAAAAAAAATTACTAAAATTAAATCAATGTGAAACAAGTCTAGTCACAAAAACATCTACAGAGAGCTTTTTAGAAACATTTCTACCAAATACAGGGACACCTGTACCTTATCTATAAGAATAAGCATAACAGTTTCAAGTTTTCAGGCACGCCAATTATGTCTTTTAATGGATACTGTAGTAGTTTGAATGAGAATGGCCCCATGGCTCATATATTTGAATGTTTGGTCCACAGTTGGTGGAACTGGTTTGGAAAGGATTAGGAGATGTGGCCTTGTTGGAGGAGGTGTGTCACTGAGGACGGGCTTTGAGGTTCCAAAATCTACCCTCACCCCGTATCTTTTCACTTTCCACGATTCCCAGTTAGCTCTCTGACTCCTACTTGCAGATAGGGATGTAAGTTCTCAGCTATGGCTCCAATGCTGTGCCTTCCTGATGCCACACCCCACACATGATGGCCATGGACTCATCCTCTCAAACTGCAGGCAAGTCCCAAAGTAAATGCTTTCTTTTATAAGTTGCTTTAGTCATGGTATCTCTTTATAGCAATAGAAATGTAACTAAGACAAGCACTCAAAAAATATATTGCTGCATTTTTGTATCTAATATAACTAAAGCTCCAAGTGATGTGATATGCTCTTCTGGCCTCTGTGAATACTCAGTATACATACAAACACATACAAATTATGTAGACAATCCTATTAAGGAATGCCGTGCCGTTTAGAAAGTGATTTTTATCCTAAATACTGAAAGCTTGGCAGGAGATAATATAATTTGCTTTACAAATCAAAACAGTTTGAAACCATTAAATTAGCTTTACTTATCCTGATCACTAGTATACCTTAAAAGAACACAGAAATTTTCAACTCAACCTCATACAACTTTTACGAAAGTTCTTTGTGCTTCCTTTTACTTCTTGATTCATTACCTTTTCAAAGAACTTGGGCCAGTCACTGCTGTGGATGTTTCTCAAGTTACCTCTGTCTTCAATCTTGTAGTGTCTGATTTTCTGGTCTTCAAGCCAAACGATAAAGTTTCTAAATTCCGTTTCATCTGCAACGAAATGTCATATATCAAATCACTTGAAGCCCCCGTGATCCTTGGTGGCTTTCTAACCTGCAAACACTATGTTAATTGACCCACAAGAGAAGTAAACAAGAGCTCAAAACTCAGACTGTAGAGCCATCCATAGACCACTGCAATATACCCAAATTCTAGATAAGCCTCAGAAAACTGAATACACTTTCTAAGCTTCAGATTCTTCAGATACAAGATGAGAAAAACGGGACTTACTTTTGTGGGGTTGTTTTGAGTATTAAATGAATTAAACATGCGTAGAGCAGTGTTTCCTATGTTTTATTAGTACTCTGGTTCCTTTAAGAGTTTAAGGGGGATTAGGCAGGTAAAAACTTTGAAGCATGCCAATAGAATAAAATAAACAAGAAATAAAAGACTAAAACACCCCGAATATAAATATTGAAAACTGAAAGCTAGGAGACAGCATACAGTTACCAGGATGCATTTGCTTCCTTAGACTCCCTCCCGACCCCAAATCCTCCGAAAAGATCCTCATTTTACATATCAGAGAACTAAGGTCTCAAACCCCAATTTCGGCTCTATGGCTACCCAACAAACCTTGAGTCAAAAGCCAAGTACAAAACCACGACAGACCCCGATATCCTTCTAGAGACCAAACGCTGCCACCCCGTCCTGTACCGCGGAATGAGGCCCTGGTCTCCGCCTCACTCCCAGTCTCCCTCTGACCCGCAAGACTTTAATGTCTTTTTTCTGAACTCCGGCCACTAACTTTCTGCGCGCTCCGAAGGGCATCCCTGCCCCCCTACCCGACCCAGCAGGTGCCCGCCGAGCCGCCCCGGGGCCGGGAAGCCTGCCGAGCGCCGCCAGGCAGCGGCTGCCGGGTACGGGTCCGGGTACACGCCGGCTGGGGAGGCGCCGTCGCCGAACCTCGCGGCCGCCACCCACCTTTGCAGTTGAAGCCTGAGGGGTTGTGGTAATCCAGGGCCGTGAGCTTGCGTCGGAACATGGTCCCAGCTGCTCGCGCTGGCCGCCCGGGCCTCTGCCGGGACAGGAGAAGCGAGGTGAGACGGGCGGCGCAGGAACCGGCGACGCGGCGAGGGGGCGGGGCAGTGACCGACGCTCCGACGGACGGCGGACGGAGCCAATCGCGGCTTAGGAATGCCCGCAGTAGGCAAGCGCTCGCCAATCACCGCTGCTGCTAAGGAGGCGGGGCCACGTCGGGCACGTCGACGCTCAAATAAACTTTATTGTCAGCTTCCTACTTGTACAATGGACCGAAAGCAAGTCTGAAGTCGCGGTTTGTGGATATAACTCCTTTTCTTGCAACAATAAGCAAAAGCAAAACCCAAAACCAAATATAAAAAAGATGTCTGTACGCTTTCTTCAATAAGCTATAGCTCTTATTGACTCAGAGTTGCTGTTTAATATTTTGAGCGTTTTAATTGCTTCTCTTTGAACGCTGGTAATACAAAGATCGAAAAGAAAGGTCCCTGCAGGATAGTCTTTCGGACTAGTTGGAGTAATGCACAGATTATATACAACCCCTATGCCATATTTCAGTTTGTAGCCAAGCAGGGAAGTTAGAAAGCGGGAACCGGCCTTTCCTTCTCCCCAAAACTCACAGTCACTATCATCAGTGGGCCCCTAACTCCTGCCATCTCTTCTCTGGCATCCTTTCTTGCCTTTCCTGATCTATTTCCCGACTGTGTAATGCGACTGATTATCTAAAGCGCCCATTTAAAACTTTCTTCTTATCTTTTAGCAAAGCTGTCTGTGCTTGTGATCTGAGTTGCATGTTTTCAGGTTTTTGGCCTCTTATCCAAATTTGCAAAAGCAAAATAGTTTTTTGTTTTGTTTTGTTTGTTTGCTCTTTAAGCAACGCTATAGTGCAAAGTTACAGAATGACAGCAGGCCACATGAGCAAGAGTACCAAGTACTTCAGGCTACAGCTTGGGTCTCTTTGCACAGGTTAAGAGAAAGGAGGGGCTGGTTGCTACTTTGGATGATCCTTTATTTTAATTGATAGATCTGGTTACATGATCATTTTAATACTGCTCATGTCCCTTCCCATAATGCATCTGGCTTTAATCACATGCACAGGCTTATGATAGTAAATAGGAGATTCTTCTTAAAAGGTTATTAGAGGACGTAATTTCCTCTTACTTGTGCCTGTACCCCAAGCCAATTCAGGCTGGCTTGACCCTTCTAGTCTTTATGCTCCATACATTGGGAATGTACTTGAATAAAGACTGTTTAAGCGTGATTGGTACTAGGGGTGAAGAAACATTATTATTTAAAGGTGGAAGTACATATAATCTGGGGAGGTTAAGGGAGTTCCAGGGTGCCAGGTAAATTATTTGGAGAATAGTTTAGGGTGGTGGTGGTGGTGGTGGTGGTGGTGTGTGTGTGTGTGTGTGTGTATGCTACTTACAGGTTAAGGAACAAGACTGCCAAGTGCATTATTGTAAGAAGGGGTATGTAAATAACTCAGAAACAAATTAGGGTTCCAAACTGACCTCTCTCCTATGCTCGCCTGCCTCTGTAGTTGCCCATTGTGCTCTAAAGACAATCAAGTGTTCTTACTGAATTTAATATCCTTCCCATTCCTGTTGCAAATTGTTTTTCAGATACAGGAGAGCAGTGATGATAGAGCCAGACTGACTGTCTACTTTGATTCCATTTAAAAGGCCAAAAAGGGAGGGTGGGAGGGACAAAAAAGAGAAACTGTGGCTTGAAGATAGTGAGGAGTTCACTTGCAATCAAAATGATAGCTTATTTTGCTGGAAGCAGATGTACAAAGGCAAGAAGTGAACAACAATAGGGCTGAGAGGGAAGCGCTCATGGAAGCTGGAGGGAGATGGTGACAGCTGGCAAGACTGTGGACAAAGGCAGGCACTCGATCAAGAAAGGCCTTTCGTGGCAAGCTGAGGGGCGCCACTGAAGCTCTTGGAGCTAAGCCAACTATACATTTCATTTTAGTCCATGAACGGGTGATTAAACACTGTTTGCATCTGTGGGGCATACAAATGAAGAAACTGTAGTGTCTAATTTCAGGCAGTTTAAACGTAATAATCAGCACAGATGCTTAGACTAGTTGCTTCTAGTCTGGAGTCAGAAAGTGGCGTGTGGATAATGAGAAGCTTTGGGTGTGCCACAGGCCTGAGTGCAGCTTTAACTGTGCTCTCGGAGACAATTCATGTTTTCCCAATTAAGATGTATACCAAAGTGAATCAAGAAAAGCAAGACCAGGTGCTAGAGAGATGGCTCAAGCAGTTAAGAGCACTGCCTGCTCTTCCAGAGGTCTTGAGTTAAATTCCCAGCAACCACATGGTGGCTCACAACCATCTGCTATGGGATCCAGTGCTCTCTTCTGGTGTGTCTGAAGATAGCTACAGTATACTCATATAAATAAATGAGAGAGAGAAAGAAAGAGAGAGAGAGAGAAGAAGGACAAGCGGTTTTGCAACCAACACTTACTGTGATTCATCTTAATTGAATAATTCATAAAATTTTAGCCAAAAAAATAAAAAGAAACTCCTTGAAGAAAAAAATAAACATTTTCACATAGTGGTAGATAGTACATTTCTTAAAAAAAAAAATCACTTTTCATGTGTATTATGTGAGCATGTGAGAGTTTAACTATGTCACATGCATGCAAAGGCCAGAAAAGGGCAGGGGTTCCCTTGGAACTGAAGTTACAGGTAGTTGTAAGCTACTATGTGGGTGCTGGGAATTGAACTCACATTCTCAGCAAGAACAGCAAGTGTTCTCCACTGCTTAGCTTAGTGTTCTTCTCTCCCCATAGTACACTTCTTAAAGGGGCACAGTTTGTGCCATTAGTTTTCTGAAACTGACACTTCAGAACAAAGCTCTAAGTTGTTTGCTTCTTGTCTATGTCTGTTTCAAGTTCCCACACTGGCAGCTAATTGAGACTGTAGCTGGTCATCAGGCCTGGCCACTGCAGGGGAGAGGAGGCCAGAGGGAGATTCATAGACAATACTGAATGGAACTGAGCAGGGGATAAAGCTAGTCATAGAGGAGACGCATAACATTATAAACATGTAATATTTTATATTTAAAATACTATTTGTCTTTTTATTTTTTCTAAATTTGAAGGAACCTTTCTTAGTCACCATTCTATTGCATGACCAAGACAACTGTTATAAAAGAAAGTGATTAATGTGGGCTTGTTTAGAGTTTCAGAGGAATCAGACAGAGAGACACTGGGTCTGTCTGCCTTGGGTTTTTGAAATCTAGAAGCCCACCCCCGTGACAGACTTCTTTTAAACAAGAACACACGCCCCAGTCTTTCCAAACAGCTAATCAACTGGGGACTTAAGCATTCGGATATATGAGCCTGTGGGGTGAGGGCAGGAGACCATCATTCAAACCACCACAGGGCCTTTGAAGTAGAAGATGCACAACCTCATTTCTAAAGATGAATTCCTTTTTTTTTTTTTTAAATGTTAACATTTAATTAACCCCTGGAGTGGCTTTTAAGCCACCAGAACACAGGCACCTCCAACACCCTTAATCTTCTCTTCAGCTCTTCTGCTGAAGAATTTGGCCTTCACGATGACAGGTTGCTTAGGGAGCTTTCCCTTGCCCAGAACTTTGTAGTAGCCAGATCGAACAACATCAATGACGGGAGCAGCTCCAGTCTTGTTTTTGGCTGCATTGACCCGCGTCTCCTCGCTAACCAACGTCCATAATTTATCCAGGTTGACAGTTGGGCAGAAGCTCTGGTTCCTCTTCAAGTGGTAATGCCTCATACCAACTTTCCCGAAGTAACCTGGATGATATTTGTCAAAGTTGATCCTGTGGTGGTGCATGCCTCCAGCATTTCCGAGGCCTCCTGGGTGCTTGCGGTGCTTACCGATGCAGCTGTGGCCGTGGCTCACGTGGCCCCGGAGTTTCCGGGTCTTCCTCAGTCTGGATGGCATGGCGTGGCAGAAAGGAAAGAGTTTTTTTTTTTTCCTAAAGATGAATTCCAATCTCGGCATCTCTAAACAAAGTTCTATTTCAACACAGCCCTGTTCATTTGCTTACTGGTTGCCTTGACTGCATCAGAGAACAAGTTGAATAGATTCAATGTATAAGACTCACAAAATCTAAAGTATCTTCAAGGTATGCAGGGGTTCACTCTCACAGGGATGGCAATATCAGCATGATTAAACAATTCATATTAAGTAAGATAATCATCAGAGATACAAATTTCACATTGAAGCTTATTGAATTCTTTCTTTTCTTTTCCTTTTTTTCCTTCCTTCCTTCCTTTTTTGGACAAGAACTCACTATGTAGATCAAGCTGGCCTTTAACTCACAGAGATCCACCTACCTCTGCCTCCCATGTGCTGAGATTACAGATATTGATCACTACACCCAGCTTAACCTGTCAAATTTCTAAAGCCACCAAATTCACTAAATATTTGTTCAGCTGTTTTTCCAAAGAGTAAGCAAAACAAGTTGGTAACATTTAGAAACATCCACAACAGCCTCTACATTGCATACAATATATATGCTTTATATTCTGATAAATGTTATCAACTGTGCATCTTAGGAAATTCGATTTTTCTTAAGTTGTGTACTGCAGAGAGGTCCCTCTCCTTCAGGGATCCTCCTGAGCATCATCCCCTTCTGAGACCCTTTCTTTTATATCTGATGGGACTCCAAGCAACTGAAGAACATCTGAGGAGAACTACATTTTATTGTGGAAATGGAATATGCATGACTAGGAACTCTCATCACACAAAACGCATAAACCATCCATTTCCCACATTCAATTCTACAAAAGAAAACAGATGCACAGTAGAGACTGGTCATTCCGGAAAAACTCTTGTGTGGAGCCACCAGTTTTGCAGATATGTGAGCCCATAATTCCCTTCAGTAGCTGAGCCAGTCACAGTGGAATTGCTCCTAAGCTGAGGACAGACTCCAGAGAGACTTCAAACAAATGGTCCACAGAGTCAGTGGGACTCTACATAGGGTGAGAGGAAGACAGCGGAGATACATCAAGGTTGTGTCCTTGAGTGAAGCTATGAATAGAGACAATAGTGCTGGTGAAAGGGAGCCCGTGTGTGGCAGCTGGGGGATCG